CTAAACACAATATACTTTGATTTAATAATAAAATAATACTTTGAAAAAAATTCCACTTTAAGATTAATAACCAGTTTTTTTGTTTTTAGAGATCTCATATCTTTTATTATTTTATTATTAAATATATTATTTTTCTATGACAAATGTAAAATATAAATTATTATGTTCAATTTAAATAATTAACGTAAACTTATTATTAAAATAAAATTATTAGAATAAAAAATTAATTTGAAACATAAAAAATACTTTAATTAAATATACTTTAATTATTATTATTTTAAACGTGCCTAGAATGTGTCAATAATATTTACGAACTAAAAGTTTTATCTGATAAAATGATCTTTCGGCGAAAATGACGCTTATAAGGAGATAATAATATTACCAATCTTCATGAAGGTTCTACAACTTCGTAATATAATGTGAAATAAATGATGGTAAACAGTTGCCGGCTATAGTAAATCGTTATTCATTTACTGATTTAAATTTAAAAGCAGCGCTATCATGCAAATTTGCCTGCGATTTCTTATTTAAAAGTATTCAAATATCTTGGATGCCATAGAGATGTTTAATAACATTAATACATGCTTTATGATATTATAAAATTTTACTTACATCTATATATAAAATAAAGCACACTTTATTAAAATGCAATAATAAATATTTGCTAAGTTGCCAAATAAATATTTCATATATGTGTTATTAAAGAATTTTCAAATATTTCTATTTTATTAGCTTCAAAGCAAAGTCTTTTATATATATATTAATGAGTATGATTTAAAATAAAATTTTTATTAATTCCTATTCAATATGCATGGAAATAATTTAAAAATATGAATTATGTATAACTCTCAATGCGTATTGTTATCAGTAAAAAATTACTAAAAAGTTATTGAACAAAAATATAAGGTGCAATTTTTGCACGTGACAGATTAATGTTAAAATATTCCAGACATGGCTTACCATCAGATCCTACAGTAATGCTGCTCCAACAGTTAAAATGTACATTGATGGGCAATTCGTAGGTAATTATTGACACGTTTTGCTCATTTATATGTTTTGCCAAATATTAATTTTTTTAATTAATATTATAAACGCGATTTATTCTTTCAAAGCTTCTTTTTTATGCAGAATTGTTTGCAATACTTTCGTCAGACAATTTAAATTATATCGATCTATAAATCGAAATTTTTTTCCAGAGTCGAAGAGCACAGAATTCACGGATGTCCATGATCCAGCGACGAATCAGTTGTTATGCCGCACTCCAAAATGCACGAAGGATGAGATGGAGAATGCAGTGCAGAGTGCACGGAACGCATACGAGAAGTGGCGGTACACAAGCGTGTTAACGAGACAAAATTTGATGCTAAAATATCAGGCTGTTATCCGTGAACACTCAGTTAGTTTATTAATGCACTTTAAAATCTAAATTAATTAAATAATACCGCGATCACACAAAATGGAAAAGATGAAAATAATAATTCGAATAATAAACGAGCTATGAAAATAATAATATATTACAAAGAATAATGAATACATTTTGCATCAACAAAATAAAAAATCTGATATTACTGCGATAGTAGTAATGGACGATAAAATACAGTAAACTTCGAACAAATCTTTTACTACATTAACATACAATCAGTATTCAATTAATATTTTATATAATTGCAAATATTTTATACTTTAAAACTTTATATTCTATTTATTTATTTACAGAAAGAAATTGCACAGAATCTTGTAAAAGAAAATGGAAAGACTATGGCTGATGCAGAAGGAGATGTGCTTCGAGGTCTTCGTAAGTATTACGTTAAATTATATATAAAAGTTTATATAAATTAGACGATAATTTTTAATTAGATATTTAGATAATTTAAAATCTAGTGTATTACTTTTAATGGGCTCTCATTGATTGATTGAAATTAGCGGAATTGAATATATATTTTTAAAAAATTAGAAAAAAAACAATACATATGTTATATTTTATATAATAATTTGAACCTAATAATTTCATATAATTATGCTTTATGTTTATAAAATTATATTATGTACTGATTCTTCAGTTTTAGCGAACAAAAATTATTTTTAATTTTTTCGACGATATAATTTATTGAAATCATTACATCGATTATCACGTACCGACATAACTTAGATTACGTTGCTAATGTCATTTACATATTGATACTTGATAATTAATATTTAATAAATAATACTGAATATCGATCGATACTTAACTCCGATGACAGAGGTCGTCGATGCCTGTGCGTCGATTCCGACGCTTCAAATGGGTGAATCCACGGCCAATATTGCTACGGATATGGACATCATCTCGTACAAAGTTCCTCTCGGCATTACTGCATCTATTTGTCCTTTTAACTTTCCTGCCATGATACCACTTTGGTCGTTCCCGATATCGGTCGCATGCGGAAATGCCGCAATTCTGAAGCCATCTGAGCGGGTACCAGGTGCATCCATGATCCTCGCTGATCTCTTTACGAAAGCCGGTGCACCAGCTGGCCTTTTAAACATAATACACGGCCAACACGAAGCCGTGGACTTCATTTGCGAGCATCCTGATATCAAGGCTGTTTCTTTTGTCGGGTCTGATCAAGCGGTAAGTGAAAATGGAAGCGAGAAATAATATCGAAACTATCTGTCTTCATCCCGCTTCATCAATATCTTCTCCTATTTATTTTAAATTGTGATGACTTTTTTCAATTTACAGGGTAAATATATCTACAAGCAGAGCAGCGCACATGGTAAGAGGGTACAGTGCAATATGGGTGCTAAGAATCACTGCGTCGTCTTGCCGGATGCAAATAAGAACAAGACGCTGTCGCAAATTGCCGGTGCAGCTTTCGGAGCTGCCGGACAACGATGCATGGCACTTTCGGTGGCTATCTTTGTAGGCAAATCTAAGGAGTGGATACCTGAATTAGTAGAGGCGGCAAAGAGATTGCAGGTAAACGCTGGTCACGTCCCCGGCACTGATCTTGGACCTGTTATATCGCCACAGGCGAAGCAGAAAATCTGCGAGCTGGTGGAATCCGGTGTTAAAGAAGGCGCAAAATTGCTTCTCGACGGAAGAGATATTATTGTACCCGGCTTTGAAAATGGAAATTTCGTCGGACCTACGGTGTTAACCGATGTTAAGGTAAAATCAAATATATCCTATAATACAATGATTAATCAAGATTGCGTGCCGAAGCGTGTGGAAATATTAAAATAAAATTAAATGAAAATTAAGCTTTAAAGTTTTATCATAATTTATTTTTAAACTATTGCTATTATTATAAATTTTATTATTATAGGAGAAAAGAGCACGTTCTTTAAAATAAAAAAGCAAAAATGACTTTTTATAACTGTCTACATTTGAGAATATTACTTATTTTTTGACAGAAAGCTTTGTATATACAAAATAAAAAGATAGTGTTATTTTAATTCAATATTGTTATTATATTTAATTTGCATATATTATAGATTATTCGATATGTATATTACAGCCTACGATGAAGTGTTATACGACCGAAATATTCGGGCCCGTTTTATCATGCATATTCACCGACACTACTGACGAGGCTATCGACATCATCAATAAAAATCCTTATGGCAATGGCACGGCAGTTTTCACGACAAATGGCGCGACGGCTAGGGCATTCGTGAACAGAATCGAGACTGGCCAAGTTGGTGTTAATGTACCCATACCAGTACCCCTACCGATGTTCAGCTTCACTGGTAACAAGGGCTCCTTCCTAGGCGATAACCATTTTTATGGGAAAGACGTGAGTAGATGTAACATCACGCGACTTTACTCTGATAAATTAATCTATTTATCAAACTGTCATATTTCTAACATTTTACAATAATTTTTGTATTTTTTTATTCTAATTGATCACTTTTCAACTAATTAAAATGTATCAAAAATAATGAATATAGTGTTGAAACGATATATATAGATGAAAGATCTATCTTTTTATTTGTATTGGAAAAACTTTTTTGTTAGATGTCTTTGTTGCATTACACATATATTGCATATGCAATTTAGGAGCATAGGAGTATATAATATGTTAGCTTTTGAACAAATGATAAATGTATATGCTAATGTTCTTAATTATTGTAATATTTTAGGGTATAAATTTCCATACACAAACGAAGACAATAACTCAATTGTGGAGATCTAGTGATGCTAGCGATATAGTATCATCGACTGCGATGCCTACAATGCAATAAGATTGTAATTGTGCGTAATTGTACATTATAGCAAAATATTATTCCAAATTTTACAAGTATAATTGTACAAAGCTCACTTTTGCAATTTGTTATGCAGTTATGCAGTTAAACGATGTCTTCCATTTTATTACGTATACAAGTCTGTTAAGAATAAATATACATAAATGTAATGTTATAAGCTAAATAAAATACATATATTTTTCATAGTTTAATAAAGCCCATATCTCTTGAAAATATTGGTATTTTTTTGTTAGAAAATAAAATTTGATTTACTGAGAAAAATGGTATGGCATGACAAAATGACAAAATTTGTCACTATGAAAAAATTAATTAAATTCTGTAAATTTCATTTATAATTCGTTATAAAAAAATTCTATTTTAAATATTAAAATATTTATTTGATAATAAATAAGTTAAAAAGTGAAGTAAATTGTAACAATAAATACGTTATATATCAACTTTGAACTAAAGACACTATCAATCATATGGCAATGCATTTTAATTGAAAGAATGTAATTCGTACAACAGCAATCAGCGAGCGCGATTTTTTCGCTATCGATCAGCCTCTCGTTCGGTACCAGTCGCGACTGTAATTTGGCGCGCGGGTGGTGCCAGGCGAAAATATGTCTAAAACTCGATAGTATAAGCGTCAAAAGAAGTTCACGGTCGACACCTCCTAATTCGTCCTTGAACCCTCGACTCCACGAACCCGCGCGCGGACATCTATCCCTTGACGATACCCGAAGCAACTTCCGGCAGTCGGGAACGATGTATGCGCCGACGCGCGCATCCCATCGTCGTCGTCGGGTCGCATCTGCGCATTTTCCAGCTGAATTTCCTTCACAGGCGAGGTTCTGCCTGTCCCGGATTGTCGTGTACGCGCCGACACACCAGACCGGCAGGGAAACTACGGGAAAATCCTCGACCGTTTCACATATCGTGAGTATTGTCGATTCATCCGTGATTGAGATTCTCGACGCAGCTTTGCTTCTCTTTCGTTTTCGCTTTTCTCGTAGAAATCTTTTTTGTTCCATAGCTGAAAAGACCTGTCGAGAATAATTTATCTGCTTTTCCGAGGAGGACTATTGACGTTCCTATCGAAGTTGTCCGTAGTTAAAGATTCGGTATGCATTTACACTGGGAACTATTAATTGTTCGAATGTGCGTGGAGAGAGTGTTTTGTTGTTTTTCTCGTTCGTGGATAAACCTATATTTTTTGTTAAACAAGTTGTCAGCATCAACACCGGTTAGGCAGAGTGTAATTGATCATTTTGGGTTTAATTTCCGGCGCATAATATTTATTTGCCGGATATTTCATCGTAATATCGTATAATATCAACAGTGTTCATATCGTGACTGCCAATACGTTTATTTTTAGCAGTATAACATTAAAAATGAAATTTATATTAATATATATTAAAAATCTTCGAATTTGTTTTTTAATCCTATTTAATTTTTAAAAAATTTATATGTACATATATTTATCTTTTCATAAATCATATCATCTCTCGTATAATATTTATATAATAATATTATGTGTAAGAAGAAGAATGTTATATTTTTATTAAGACTAAGTAAAATGTTCATTATGATTTTACTTTCCATTGTCACGCACGTCGAGTAATTATTTAATTAGAAATATTAATCAATATTTTAATTTTGCCTTTTTACATCTCCGAACTTGTTGACATGCTTTAAACAATGCGGCTTTTAAATGTCAAGCGCTTTCTAAGCGAACTAATCTACAAACGCTTTCTATTTCCGCGCGTTATACTTTATACCTTAATTAAACATTGTTTCACGATTGAACTTTATTAACAACCTTCCGAGTTTATTGCAAATTAAAATACCATAAACCTATAATAACAAATAAGTAGCGAGTTTGCTTTTATAAATTTCAAAATTATTTTTTAATATAATTTTATATCTAATTTTTTTAAAAATTGTAATTAATTTTAAAGCTATGACAATTCTTAAAAAACCTGCATAGAATATTTATAACAGTTATATAAAACTGTCTTGCACATACACAAAGCAATTTAACATATAACAGAGATGTTTTTCTATTTTTTCCTTTTCGTGAAATACATATTTCATGCAGTAATTCGTTATGCAAGAAATGTTTATATAGGAAAATATCATCTTGATGTAGTTGTTCTTAATTAAAGTTCTTAATGTATTCGCTAACTCTTTACTGTTTTGAAAAACTTCTAAATTCGATTTTCTAATTAAGCATTCTCATCTTGCAAACAGCTTCCTGAGAATCAAAATCATTTAAATATCACTGATTTCGAATCACGCGAACATTTCTTCGTCTTTTCTTTATTTAAGTACAATGAAACTCTTTCTGACAGTTGGAATAATTATGTATGAAATGAAAACGTGATGTCAGGAGCTGCATCACAGCGATTTGGCAAGAGACAAATTACCTCGTGTCGCATACTTTTACATCTATCTCGAGGAATCTCTATCTCTTTTGTTTTATATCTGCATGTTTTATGGTTGATTCTTTATGACGTTTATAAGATAATAAATGTCAAAAATGTTTTCTAAAATAGATTCTGAAAAAACTCGAGATAGCCGAGTAATATTGATATAAATATACCATATATTGATGTAGACAGTTCAAAATTCAAATTTTTGTTCGAAAAATCATACATACTTTATTTATGTATTATGCTGTAATATATAATTTTATTATACCAAATGATTATAATACTAACGCTATATAATAATGTATAATAATAAATTTGTAAACATGATGATACATGAAATTAATAATTTATAATAAACAATTATGAATAAAATCACTACTAACTGTTTTGTAATTGCAAAATTAATTTTAAATAAGCATATGTTATCTAATATTATAATTAATATAGTTTGTTGTAATTTATTTTATAAAATGTTATTTAATGTTACTTGCAGTTAAATAAATTATCTGAGGAAAAAATTTTTCAGAAAATTTTTGGATAATCTATTTTACGTATAATATTGAACACAATGGTATTTTAATTTTACGATAGAGTTCTGTGTAAAATCTTTGATTTAATTTTCTTTTCAATGCATCAATATTAAATTTAAATGCAGTACATCATCGATTCATTTCATTCTTATCACTGAGTTTTTGTTTCAATTACAATAAAATTGGATATTTCGGTGTTCGTGCTGAAATAAATTTCGCATTGAATAACCGCGTTCGCGAAAATAAATGTAAGAGCCTACTCGACTGACAGAATCGTATATTTCCGGCCTGTTAAAAGATCGTCGCTGTGCATCTCTAACAAGATCTATCCTGACAGGTTGAATAATTATGTACAAAACTGTGCGGAAAGGCGATGCCAGCCTGCAGTACACGATACTGCCACAGACGGATCAGTTCTCATCCGGCGGATTTCCGCAAACTTCCGGCAAACCTCGGCCGAGGATCATCAAGTATACGATGGGCACCGTGATGGTACTCATCATTCTCTCCTGCGTGGCCACGCCGTTCCTGATGAATCAGAATGATCACAATCTTTTCGCCAGCACGATGCTGGCGATGAGCCGAGTCGAGCCTGTCAGGAACACATCGAAGAGCCAAACGAAGGACATTGGTGTTAGTAAGAACAGAAGCAGAATTCCTACTACCACGATGTCGACGATCGAGGTCACTAGGAGGAAAGACCTCGAAGACAGTACGACTCCTTTCAACGGAATTCTCCGAGGGGAGGAAGAGGAAGAGGAAGCGGTAGTTGATGATACCACGTTAGCAGGTATTGTTTTGCTTGAATTTTAGAGAGATAATATATGCCAGCAAAATAATTGTAATCCAAATATTTTTTTAAATATAATAGAGTTTCCGATATATCAATCAATAAAAACATTCCCATGTTGATGTTTAAATTTGTTGTTTGTATGGAAAAATGAATATTTTCATAAAATATATATTTTATTTGTCATTGTAAAATAATATTATACTTTTCAAATAATATGATATTAGACAAATATATATAATATATTATCTCTTCTCATCATCTAAAAATTTTATCGGTTTTATGTTTGTTTAAATTAAAACGAGCGTTATGAGATCGAGCGCGAAATTTAATTTTCCCGTCTTTAGAAAACCGCTATAAAACATGCAAATGTCAGGTTTAAAACGGATTCCAGCCTTATACGTAAATTAAAACCGTAACGTAATTTATTAAGGCGCGCTGTTATCAATTTTTCAACTAAGCTATTATACGTAGATATCAGTCACGTAATTATTAGTCCTGCGCACACAGTCATAAATTCAGACAATTCCCTCCTTTCAGACACATCGGAAATTAGTACGCAAGCAATTCCAAGCACGGAAACGTCAATGAGCGTCCGTCAAATGATGACGACTTCCGCTCTACCGTCGACGATGGTCCTCTCGGCGTCGTCGACGACCCCGAAGGCGTCCTCGAGCGGCACGACAGAGGACACGAAGACGGCGAGCACGCTCAAAAAACCGAAGATGCCGAGGGTGACCCTGAAGCTGCGCGAAAACGAGACCATTCCGCAGATGTACATGAAAGCTGGCATAGCCTCGTACAAGAAAGGCAACATCACTACTAGCGTTCTCGCGCCGCGCCTGAGCCTTGAGGGCCTGATATTCAAAACGCCAGAGGGGACGATAAAGCCCTGGCCTCAAAAGTGGTTCTTCAGCGATCCCTCGGCCGACTTTCAGTGGAAGGTGAGTGCTCCTCTATTTCCCGATCAAATGCTCAGTATGTTCTTGGAGATGAATTCAAGGGAGACTTGGAGTATCCTGTATTTTGATCAAGTGCAAGTCATGTGTGGAAAAATTTGCTGACTTGTTATTTTTTCACGTGTTTTCATTTTTTTCTTTTTCCAGAATTTTTCCACCAAGTGGAAAAATTCTCTTTTCAAACAAATTTTTTCCGAACATTCAAGTTTTATACTTCAGTTGCAGTTTTTGTTATATTTTTTCTTTAAATAAAAAATTCACGAAATGTAAAAATTTGACGTATATATTAATTTTTAGTTATCTTTTATTAGAAATAAGAGCACTTTAGAAACGCGTAATTTTTTAAAGAAATATGGCTCGAATTTTCTATTCGAAATTTTGACATTTTTTATTTGAAAACATTTCTAGATTTATTAGTTCCTCTCAAAAATTTATTTGTTTGCTGCCGTTGTTGCACTTTCGAAAATATTATAACAAAATATTATAGCCCAACTGTGCGTGATCCATAAGATACTTTACGTCACACATTTTTCTCATATCTTCGAGTCTACCGGTCGTCTGGTTGACTCGAAATTTTGCGTCCTGCATAAATATTGATCGCGTTGCACCAAAGACATCTAAACTGAAGCACTCTGTCCGATCGATAGGCCGAGCATGTTCGTGAATCTAAAAGCAGACGAGCAATCGCTCGGAGTCTTTATTTTTCCCGTACATTTCCCACCGGGACAGCAGACGTATTTTTATTTCCCTCTTGGAAAATTGCAGGACGTGACGTTATATATAACAATTTCTACAAAATGTCTCACGATGTCATGCAATATCACATATATATATATATATATATATATATATATATATTTATATATACTAGTTTCTTATATCTCTTCTTATTTTCTCCATCTCTCTCACGGTGAGATTTTCTATGCAAATGAATTCGCAAGAAAGAGAAAAACTGTTTTCTTGAAACATCGATCTTTCGCTGACCAATCAATATAAAAAGCCTATATTTTCTCTTGAGCCGGTAGCATTTACTTGTTGCCACTGAGAATGCTTGCGCTGCATCTAAAAATTTTTATCGAGCTCGCACGTACGTCATTAAGAAAGAAACAATTGTAATGTAAATCGCGTGAAATATAATGTTTCATGTAAGAAAAATATAAACAATATTTTTTTAAATTTACTTATTACATAATAACTTTACTAAAAACTACAAAATTTCTTTTTGCTAAAAAAGTTTATTTTACAATTAATAAAAATTTAATAATTAAAAAAATAATTTTGTCTTGTTGCAAATTTAGCGACGACAGAAATAAACAATTTATTTGACATTTTTGTTAAAAAATCTTTTTCCAGATATTTGTGCTGCTTGCACTGGATCTTTTTAGCTCTGTTACATATTTAAACAAACTTATCAAGCTAACAGCTGCTCGGCGAATATTCATCTCGCTTTACCCAATTTTCATAAATTGTATGTGTACAACATAGTAACACACTCTATTCTAGAACTCGCTATACCTAGAGCTTTTACGGACGGAATACTTAATTTACTATATAATTAAAAATTCCAACGATGCAGCGTGCGAGGGATTAATAGGATCTTGAGTATCTGCTAATTCTCATATATTTACCGGTATTGAATTTGCAGCAGCAGTATCAAATATAATGGCGTTTCTGCCAGTTTGTGTTTGTCTTGCATATTAAACAGTAATTGGGATAACAGAGAGCAACATTTTCCGCGATGAATATTCATCTCACAGTGGATAAGTAACAGAGTTATAACGCAAGATTATACAGACAGTAAAATCATTAATAAGCATCACAAAAGTATATTTTGGAATTTCTTGATTTAAAAAATATCATAAAAAGAACAATAAATGTACATAACATTATATTTAGCTTTGTATGTAAGTAAAATATATATATAATATAGAAAAATACTTTACTAACAAAATAAATAAAATTTGTCTTATTCGATGTAAAATTGTTGTTTCGACATCTAATTAAAAATAAATATTTTAAAATACAAGAATTATTTTTAATTTTTGTTTCTCTATTCTTTTGACATAGGTACGTATTTTTTATTTAACTATACTAATCGATTGATTCGTAAATATTTATTTTTGCATTATGCCAGTTGCAACAGCAAAAGTGTAATTATGTATTAATGCACATTTTGATATTGGAATGTATATTTAATTAAAGCTCCAACAATTTATATGTGTAATAAATTACTATATGTCTCAATCGAAATATTAAGTTGGATTCCACGAACGACGGAAATAGCTGTTCCGTCGAAGGCTCAGTGGCATTAAGTAGAACACTATCGCAAATTCCGCGCATTACGCGATTTACAAATCAGAATTTCAAACAGGTTATTGCGCCAAAATAGCCAACAAAATGGGAACTAGCGAAAACATATCGTGCACGCAAAGCAATAAGCTGACGTATCGTTTGACCTAATAGCGAATTAAAGCAGTCGGTGTACAATCGATTTTATAGAATGCTCATTTATTCAATATATGTATATAATATATATATATAAATATCAGTCAAAAGAAAATAATCTGAAAAATGCGTAAAGAGAATTATTTTTAAATAATTAAGATACTTAAAAATTTTTTAGCAGAAATAAAATGCGATGTATTTTATTTTACCAGTTTATATTTTTTAAACTGTTTTTCTTTGCAGTTATCATTCTATTTAATTATAATTTATCATCTCATATGTATATAAATATATTATTAATAATATTATATATAAAGTATATATATTAACATATATGTATACATATTATTGAATAAATTAGCATTGTTGATTAAATTAAACTTTTAATATTAATAGTTCATTAATAGATCTGATTTATCTTAAATAACATGTAGGTATATTTAAATATAAAAACATATATTAAAAATAAAATTAGAAAAAATAAACATATTTTGTATGATATTTCAATTGAATAAAAACATTTTACAAATTGGAAATTTATGGAAATATATAAAGGTATAAGAAAATGGAATACATTATTCAATATTTCAACTTGACATGCAACAAAGGTATCTATCTTATAATGAGGATGTTAACCGTGTTAAACTAACGTTCCGTTGAATTTACAGGGCTCGACCCAAATGCCGGTAACAATTTACATTGTCCTCGCGGGACTGGCAGCTTTGGCAAGCATCAGCATCGTCCTAATGTTTTACGTGCAACGTAAGGCATCAAGACGTCAACGGCCAAACATAGAGGAGCCGGAAGTCGAGGAACACGAGGAAGACAAATCGACTTTACTGGGCGCGGAGAGCCAAGAGATCGAGGAGAAAGAGTAAATGCCCGGCGAGACAAACACAATGCATCATAGCGCGCGTAAGACTTGCCTATTTTTACAACACACAACACATCAGTTAGGTTTAGAGTCTTCCAGGTCGAGGGATAGAACGTGGAAAAAACAAACGGGTGAGAGAGATGCGAGAAGGATTTGTTTGATGATGCAGCCAGAATTAACTATAGAGAATCGCATTAGGACGAACGCGCTCCGTGATTCGGTTGCCTGAATTGAAGATCTGCACGATATTTTTTCTCGCGAGACTGCTCACCACATTGTTGTTACGCCCGTAAGTTTGATCTTCGTGTCATAGCGGATTTTTAAACAAGAGATTTTTCCGCGCAAAAGCGGAAACAATCACATTGTACAATCATTCTTAGCGTTGCGTTTTTATTTAGACGCCCAATTTACATGTTTGTTAAGAAATTAGCGATGGACCAGTTAAGTTTGTTACAATTGTGGTATACCTCGACTAGCGACTATTATTAAAGCGAAAATGATACGATAATGAATCTTGCGATAGTCGAGTCGATCAGGAAAAGTTAAGCATACAAATTCTGTTGTTTATTATATAAGCTTGCGATAAAGCAGAGCAGGTTTTAAAAACCCGTCACGGACGGACGCACAATACGTGCGTGAAGACAAACTACATATATACAGAGGAAAAGTACCTCATTGGCGAGTTAAGGAGACCAAAATTTATAAAGTTTTTCACAAAATAGTAAATATAGAGCTTTTTTATTCAATCTCTTTAGACATTTTTCAGAATTTTTGCGAAATTTAACTCAACAATGTCTAAAAAAAGATTATCTTTAAAATTTGATTAGTGAATGAACTTTAGGACACATGTTTTTGTAATAAAGGAATGCAGGAATTGAGGAAGAAAGGATTTTAAATAAAATAAGAAATGAGTAATTTAAATCATACAATGCGCAGTAGATGAAAATTAGTCCAAAGATCTAGAGAGAGAAAAAATTCAATTAGAAATGTACACGCGACAGTACATAAGAAAATATCTTATAATCTTGAAACGCTTAAACAATTTTAGAAGCCTCAAGGAAGGTCTCCTTAATTCGACCATCTGTATTTCCTATAAACTTTCTATAATGTATACAGTATGCGTATATACAATATATATGATTATAAGATATTATGTATACGTGTGTCATCGACTTTTCTAGCAAATCTCGAAAAAGCAAAACAGTGCTTTTTCACTTTCTCACGCCAGTCGAATTCTATCTGCGTACAAAAGTAGCCGTACTGCCAGCTACAATAAAGGGCCAGCTTTTCAACCTCGTTTAATTAAAAGTGATGTTTGACGAACGTGCTATCAGGTATATTGTTCGATCGATATTCGCACATCGTTCACTCGACGATATCTATCGTATGGGGAGAAACGTAATATCATGTTTTTTGCAATATCTCTCAAACAGCTTGACGATATCGCATCTAAAACATATGTATGTATCTATATGTAACTCATATTAAATTAACTCTCACGCTCTGCGCAGCATCAAAGTTTAATTAACAGTTTGATTTAATCAACGCGTTATTTTGCTAAAAGTATGATACGAAATCATTTGTAAAAGTACATAAAATTGGAACAAGAAATTTTATATAACTGACTAGTATTCAGCTTTCGGAAACACGAAATCATATTTAATTGAAATTAAAATTAATTTAGACATGCATTATATTTGTCAATATTATTATACAAAGAAAAGTACATCGCTGTTAAGAAAATTATATGTTTAAAAATACAATGTTTTAAACAAGTGGATATAATAATATTTTCAAAGTAAAGTTTTGAAAGTTTCATCTTTTTCACTTATCTAATATTTTATAAATGTCTAAGTTCCACAATACATCTTAAATCTAGAACTAACTTAATGTTTCTTTTAAATTAAATTTTGCTTTGCTAGAATAAATTTAGTTTAATTAAAAAAAATGAAACTATCGATATTATATCATACTATAAAATTAATAATTATAATTTTTTATATTAAATCTATAATATTTTATAATTATATTTAACAATTTTTAAATCAATTTTCTCTATTTTTTAAATTTATATATTTTAAGATGTAGTTAAACAATCTGTTATATATAATATGCAAAACAAGATTTAACTATCCGAACTTTAACCAAGGATGCTCCTCAAGATTGGTTCTAAAGGTCAGTTTTGTCATTTTATTTTATTCAAGGCAAAACGCATAAGATAAAATTGCTGATAATTTCACGTTTAAAGACCAACGCTTGTACAGTATCAAATCTAGCGCATATTTATTACATAACGACGATAACAAGTCTAACATTTTGCACAAGTTGTTTACTGTCTATAGGATCCATTTTATCAACAGATAATTTCTATAATTTTTGCGCAACGCAATTCTACTCTTTACAATGTATCCTATATTATTTATTTCATAGTTATACGTTTGTACTATAATGTTGAATTTTATTATTTTAGATGAGTTGCGACTTATTATACAGAGAATGGTAGAATATGCAAATGTATTAAATATATATATACGCACGTTGCAAAATCTGGTTTGTCGTGACATTTTTGAAAAAGCACACACACATACAATTGCAGATAAATATTCTACAAATTTTAAAAATCTTTACATTGTCATAATGTATATATTTGCGAAAATTAATTGTTAATATCAATAGATATTCATAGATATTAAACACTAAAATTATTTATTTTAAACGAAATTTATGTAGTTATTTATAAAAATATATATTCAGTTTCGTGAGACAGATAAAAAAACGGGTACAATTTTTCGATGCTTGTCATAAGAGGTATAGTTATTAATGAAATTAAAAAATATGAACTAATAGAAAATCGAAACTGACAATGAGAAGCATCTTGTGAATAATTGCATTTATAATTATTACATTATTACATTAACTTAATTACAATAATTTTATTCACACAACATCTTTGTGATTTGAAGATAAAGAATCGTAATTATATGTATAATCTTACAGAGTTAAGCAATCTCACGGTAGCTATTTAATTAATTTTGTATATATTGTACTGCTGTTCGCACAGTCAAACTCATGGTATTGTTATTACAAACTCACCTAGAAATGTTCATCAAAAATGCAAATGTTTATCACGATTCTCATATTCACTTACACTATTTTGCATAGATATTTTGTAAAGATGAGCCACTCATTTTGCTATAATTCATAAAAAAATATTTATGCATGGATTTTTTATGCTTAGTTAAACATGTAGAACATAGAATTTTTATTTACTACTTATAATTAAAAAAAAAGCAATTTTGACTTAATCTTGTTTGTCAATATACTTGGAAATATTAATATAATATTTCAGTATTAAATAATTTTATTTATTCATATAAATATTAATTAATTATGATAAATATTGTCAATGTTTGTAAATGTCGATTGTTCGTATTTGCACATTATATTATTAATATTATATTAATTTCTCTTCTATCAGAATTTGTAGTTTACTTCTCCTGTTTATTTCTTCTATATAAAACATTTTTATTGTTATTTTATCACATGAGAATAATATCTGTTTTAATTAAATTTATAAAAAAATAATACATATTATGTACTGCTTTTTCTTTTAATATTTGCTAAGAAATGGAAAATTTATTTTTAAATATAAAATTTTGTTTTATTGAATAATCTGAGATTTAAAAATAATAATTTAAAAAACAAAATTTAAAAAATTGTTTACAAAAATATATTAACCATAATTTATACGTTGTAAATTTTATGTAAATATATGATAAGTTAAATAATAAGTTGATAATAAATTAAGTTAAGATTAAATTTTAAGTATTTACGATGATTGAGAACTAGATATCGGAAATGTATATTTTATTTAATACATTAAGTAATCCTGTTGCAAAATTCATGTGTATATTATAAACATTTTGTTTCAAATGAATAAGAACGTAAAGAATTCAATGATTATGCAGAATATTTAAGCGATAGTTAAAGATATGAAATTCGTATACCAATTAACTACTCGTGTGACTTTTCGTGTATTAAACTTAAACTTCTACCATATAATACATCTATTAAAATATGACTACAAAGTTTGTTAGAAGCAGTTTGAGAGGCTCATAACTTACAAAATTTATAAGGCATCTAATGAATAATTAAAGCGAAAAAATACGATAAACTCACAAGACGAAACACTTTCTTGTACCAATTTTCGGTCACGTTGTACTTACTTGAATATAATAGGTCGGTTTTTAACGAGAAAGTCGTTAGAAAACTTATAAAAAATATAACGCTCAATTAATCATTTTTCGAGATCTTCACCATGTCGTAGAAATTACGCGAAAGAACCTAATGAGGAAAGAAAAAAATAAAAAAAAAAATTATTAAAATCAATCGCGTGATTTTTGCGAGATGGATGTGTCCCGAGGATTTCATGTCGATAAACAGCAGTATGAACAGATAGAACATACATAGAAAAAAAAGATAATGTTCGATGCGTTTTCGAAAGGAATAAGGAATTCATAAGTGACACAATACGCGCTGTAGCTGAAGAGAAAAACGGTTATAGTTTCTATTTTAAAGATTATATTTTTTTAACTTTATTAATTTTTGACTTCCACGTATATGTATAAATAAAAAATACAAATATATATATATATATATACAAATTATAAATATAAAATTGTAATGGACTACTGTATATATATATACACGTATATTTTAAACAAGACCGTGTAACGCAAAAAATTACGCTAGATGCTTTAGTTTAACAATACTATTAATTAAGTGATGAAAAACTGTGACAGAAAGAGTAGTAAAATGTTGAATAATTTTCAAATTATAAAAGAAACATATATAAAATAATATTTCGTTTTAAGTAAATTTGTAAAGAATTATATTTATTATTAATTATGTGTATAAACAGTGAATAAAAACTTAAAGAAGAAAAATGATTTTTTTATAGAAACTTTTCTTCTTTATAAATTTCTCTAGCTAAAAAATCAAAGTTCTTTAGATATCAAAATGCTATTCACAATGTATGACAAACTTGATTCGGAAATCAATATGCACTTCCAAGATTCTTAATCTTGTTAATCAGGTGATTAACTTTACGTATATTCACAGTTTACAAGATTAAAGGCTATATATTGCGGGATTATTAACGTATTCGCGTTACACGGTCTGTTCGCATTAGTTAGCTTAGCTAGGCCAATCAATTCTGTGTACATATATTATTATTGTATGTATGTAGACACGAAGTATATCTGCTAAGAACACGGCGGATAAATAAATAATCGATTAATCAATATTTTAATTTATATACAAATCTCTGTATTGGAAACAATTACAATATGACGAACAGTAACGAAAAGTTTTGTTTAATAGAACAAAATTAAAATTAACTGCTATTGTTTTTTGCATTTGAATATACTTTTGCTGACAGCTATCGAATAAAAAATAATTCTCCATAATATAATTTACTACTGTGAACCGCACATATGTGCTATCTCTCCGCCATAATCCTATCAGATGCCTCGATTCTACACGTATGTTTCGACAATCACGATGCGGCTTAACGATCGTGATCCGTTTATTATTGAAAATTGAATTGTTAATTCAAGTTGAGAATGGACTAGCTCACGCCTAATTAGGGCCTATAAGTGTATACAAACAAATAAAACGTTGAGAAACAATCCTGCATTTTTTATATTAAATCTTCAGTTTCAGCAACTTTGTTGTTAAAATTTAACTTTAATACTTTATCAAGAATTATTGTTTTGCATTATTGTTCATTATTGTTATTCTACATATTTCATTAATTTTATAATATTGTATACTTGTTATCATTTTTCAAATAAAGAACAGTTACGTGTAGTTTTACATAAACTACCATCTCTCAATATTTAAATTTTTGTCAATTTTATCGTATCTAATTTAAATTTTACTATATACAAATTTTGATATCCTCAATGTATCACAATTATTTTTATTCGAATATCATTTTTAGTCTGACTTTTTAACTACACTTTCTACTTAAAATTTTTTCTTTTTCCAAAGTACGTAATATATGTTTGCTTCATGGCAAAAATATACAAAAAAACGTTGAAAAAAGAGAATTTAATATATTAAAATTTAATATTAATATATGTTAATGAACGATAATAATCTCGTCGCGAAGGAAATAATTCAAAATACCTGGCAAGCACTTATATCGGAGAGATGGCAGCAGCACACTCATTGTTAGTCATTCTAATAGACACAGATGTACGAGGCAAGGCGCAGGTCGACTACCAATTGCCACCTCTATTTCTGTAGACGTCAAGCGCGTGTGCCGGGGAGACAGTTCAGTTCAGTGTGGCTTAGACTTCAGTCGGACGGAGTCTGGCCAACCTCGTTCCTGGTGTGTGATTACAGTAAGTACACGAAATCTGACTGAAGTCGACAGGTTTGTCCGCATCGATCACCTTGACCGGTATGTCATTGATATTTGGATATCTCACTAATGTGCGTGTTCATCAAAATTGGAGTATAATTTCTCTTAGAAATCTGATGAGTGTACATAAGTAGTGAACGATGTGTGACACTGTAATTGTGCGGACCAGTGTGACACTCATAGTTTCACAACGAGGAAAATTCGTTTTCCGACCAATTACGTGATGAATTTTTCTTTGTGAGCACTTGACTAACGCTGCGCCAATAAATGAAGCATGATCAAAACGATGTATTCTTATCGTTTTGGACATGCTTACATAATCGCCATTATAGAATGTTTAATTAATATAACTGCGTTCTTACTTAATAACTAATTGCTTAATACACATTTTAAGAAAGAATTATATAAATAAGATAATAATAAAATAAATTTTAGATACTTATTGGATTAATAATTTAACTATTGAGAAAAATTTAAGGATAGAGAAAAATATGTTTAATGTATAATTTCATTTATAAAAATTTCAACTTTGAATTGTTCAAATTGTAAGATAATTATTATGTGTATATTGTATACATATATTTGTACCTATCTATTCTTATGCATCTTATGCTCACTAATAACATTCCTTTTTTCGAGCCTGCTTTCTAATTTTGAAGGCTATTATATTTGAATTTAATTAAAGAATAAATTAAGAAAATATACTTATTACATGCAAAAATAATAATATACGATATTAAACGATGATTTTGACATAAATCAATTTAAGAATATAAAAATTTAACTCCCTTAAAAGTTTAAAAAACTATTATTATATATAATAGCAAGTATATAATAGCATATATTTTCTCGCGCACACAGATGTAAATATTTTGAGTTTACACTATTGGCAGTTATACTATTTACATATTTGCACAAATGTGTTAACAATTTAAATAAGGTCTTAGAAATTTTCTCACATAATAAGTAATGGTTAATCTTTACGTTCACAGTAACTGATATTAACTGCAGAGGATCAAAGGTTAAATTCTTCGATATGTCAAAAAAATAATCAGTGTTACATTCTTATCGCTTAAGGGCAAAGAACTGTCCGAACTGAAAAAAAAACAGAAAAACTAAAACTTAAATGTTTTCCTTAATGATTAAGACGTATTAGCTTCAAAGGAATCAAACATAGAAAAGAAACACACGTTATTGCGTGATAGTCAGAAGACAATTTACATAACCAGTTCCATTAATATACATGAAACATTTGTCTTACATTTGTACTATAAAAAGTGAAAAAGTCATTCAGAAACTGAAATAGTAATAAAGAAGTAGGATAAAGATAAATAAAGTAATAGTAGTGACAATATTAGTGTATTAGAAAAATATATATATTTACGTAGGTAAAATTTTTTTTTTAATTTATATAAGACAAATAGATTTTTAAAAATTTATAATTTTATATAAAAATAGCAAAAATCTATTTTTTATTAAAATTAATAAAATTAATTAATTTTTTCAAGATTTGTAGTGAGCGTACATACATATATGTTAATAGCTCTGTCTCTCTTTCTCTCTTTCTCTTTCTAGTGCTAAATATACTTGTCTAACTATTTCATGACAACACTGTAAGTGATTCATAAGTAAAATCGAGATTCTCAAATTACGGCATTTAATATTAAATGTACAGTAGAAATACGCGTAGCATCAGAAAAAATTGGAGACAAACATTTTGAACATTGAAATTTTCCATGTCACATTAACTTTACGTTAAACAATTTTTTAATTTTTCCTTTCAATAATATATTAAACATTTTTTAATTTCCTTTAAATAACTCAATATATTAAATATTTTTAAATTTCCTTTAAATAACTCAATTATGGACTGTAGATAAAGTTCTTTGCCCCTGAATCACATGCTAGATGCAACGCTGATATATATGGCCATCATAATATTTTCTATATTTTTTAATGATTGCAATGAGTGCATCAGGTGATCAAGGCAGACTAGTAGGCGCTACTTTGACCGAGTAACCTTCATCGTGGGGCATTTCGAGATTCATTCGCGTGCGCACAACGACGCAACGTGCTGCTGCAGATAGCACGTGCGCGACGCATCGCATGCGTGAGCGCGAGACTACTTCATATTTTTCTGTCTCGTTCTCCCTTGCAATACTTCACAGTCATAACATTTCTCTCGCGCAACCGTATCTTTCATGAACTTTGCCCTCGCGGAATTTCAACATTTCGTATTTTGCATTCAGAGAACAATAAATTGAACAAACAAAAGCTAATTATTTTTCGTCTGTCTTAATTCTTTTTCTATACTTTATATTTTTTGTTCAACAAGTTTATATTATATCTTTTTATTTCATTTTAAGAATGGAAGCAAAAGCAGATCTCTGTAATCATTTTCATTTTTATATATGTAAAAATATACATATTAAGATAATCAATAAGTTTCTTTCAGTTTTACGCAGTTTTATCACGAAGAATCAATACAGTTCTAGCGCATCCACATTGACATACTCTTATTATAATGTTATTCTTCTTAGAATTGCCAAGAAATGATGCCATGAACTCTAATGATTTTGCTGCGTGTTCTATTTTTATTTATTCTCGTTTTCTGCAATTATACTGTGTGTATCAATATTTCTCTATATACTTCGCAGTTCCAACTTTACGGATAAAAACCATTTTCTTTCGTAAATAAAGTTACATCGTTCAATATTGATTATTAATGTGGAAATTTCCTTTATATCTAATATTATTTTACTGTATATATAATTAATCATTATTTCATTTTTAACATCTTTACAATCAAAAATCAATATAGTTTCAATTTATTTTTAATTTTATTAAATTACACGTTGATTGAGTAAAATAGACAGATATCATGACACACATTTACTATATTATTAATTATATTTTAATTATATATGAAATGTTCTTGTATTTTGCAAACAATTATATGAAAATGTTAGAACTATATATACATTGTATAGATAGCGGATCAGCTGTCTGAGAGTAAGATGCCACGACTGCGAATCAATACCCGATATTTCCACAGTGTTTATATACATTTAGATATCCGTGACAATAAAAAATAAATATTTTTTAATAATTAATGTATAATGCATTTATATAGGTGTGTTTATCGATTTTGATCAAACAAATTAATTATATTAAGTTATTGTTTCATCATGGTAATTATCTATTATTATGTGATTTTTGTATGATCCATAATGATGAAGTTTTAATGGAGAAATAATAGTTAAAAAAATAAACAAGTATAAAATCTGTGTTCTGTATGTATATAAAAATAATACGTGGAATAGATGATACATATAGAAACTTTACTCAATTATCAACTCAATCTTGCATCTAAACCTTAAAAGATTGATTAAAGTTGAAAAAGAAGCCAACCATGAGTCACTATCGTTTGATTGAATCGCAATCATACAATTATATTACACATATACATAGAAAAATAAATATCAAGCAATTTAATTTTGAGTCTCCAGGTTTTCATGATCTATAGTTATTTATATAATCATTAATTTCATTTTAATTTATTTATATAAATTATAAATTTGATAAGTAAATAACAATATAAGAGACCTGAAAAGTATATTAAGAAAAAGTTAAAATATACGGAAGATAATTAGAAAGAAAATTTCTTTAAAATATTAACTTTTAAATTTAATATATAATAAATATAAATACACATGTATTTGTTTCTTGAAATTTTTAAAACACTTAATATTTATATGGTCAACACAAAAAATATAATATAATAATAAATATTATTTTATTATATATTAATTTGTTATATGCTGCTAATATATGTAAATCTTAAAATTGTTTCTCATAATGGAACATTTATTCTTTTATTTTATATATTTATTATATATACTTTGAATATTCTCTTTTTCACTAATAATGCTATAATGTGTAAAATATACTTTTGTATGATATATCTTAACTTTGTCACTCTCTTATCACTCGTGTACATATGTATATCATATTATGTATGTTTTATTTTATTTTATCGTCATTAACTTTAATTTTAATGTCTTATCAATGCAATGTAATATATACGAATTGCAAATGCACGAAGTGTGCACGCGTGAGTATCAGTTGCATTCTCGAAAAATATTGCATCAAATTCTATTTTGCGCATATTTAAAAAAATTAAAGAAATCGAGGACACGTGATTTGTAAACGAGAGGTGAATAGTTCACGCGATTAACGTTATAAATGTCTTGATTTTGTAATCAATAATTCATTATCAAAAGTTTTGAAGATGTTATTTATAAAAAAGAAATAGTATAAAATTCATAAACGAGATTCCTCGATCAAAAGTGCAAAGAAATTTCAAAAAGTTGATCACATGATTACTTTTACCAATGACTGTTGTAAAAGAATGTCGTATGACTCAAATACGAGATCAGATAAAAATTCAAATAGAAATATCTTTCGTTCTACATATTTTATGATTAAATTATATCACATAATTTTTACGACATTGTCTGTGAATAATTTATAACGTTTCATTTTATAAATCGAGATTTTATACATATATATATTTATAATATATCGTATCAATTTAAATTTATTATTGTCATTAAATATTTACTACTGGATTAAAATTCTTCGAAGATACATCAGTTGTCTCAATGATAAACTTATTTCATTATATCCGTAATTATTTCAAAAGCTTTTTCCGTTTGCAATAGCAAATAATAGCAAAGTAATTTCCATTACACAAAGATTTGTCCGAAATGTATTTTTACGATATATGTCTTATAATTACAAATGACAATCATAAATGAAATGTATTAGTTCTATTAGTTATTATTAGTAGATATATAGATGTGTGAAAGTACGTCTTATCGATATAACACGTGACTTTCCCGGTATTAATTCCGGTATTTCAAAAGGCGCCATTTATTCTCGTTATCGTTCGTTATCGCCGCGTCAGGCAATAGATTTAACTGATATGAATCACTGTTGTCTGGAGACAGAAAAATACATCTTGAATTTTTGTGATTATCGCAACATTGATAAAGATAATATTGATTATCTATATATAACAAATATTTCATAATATAATACTACCCTAAGATAAATCTAAATGCACTTAGTATTCACACACACAGATATATTTAATAAATATTAACTTCAATTAATATTAACTTCATATTTTTCAATGTTTTTAAATCCATAATACTAAAATACTAAAACATTACTATATAAAAATAGAAAAAGATAATTGAAATATAATTAAATTATTTTATCGATCATTAAAATATAAACTATTTCAAAATTTCAATCTTCTAGATTTCACTATCATTATAGCGTTTAGTAAACAACAGAATTTATTCATGAAACGGTTGCACCTCACCAACTCCTATTTACGTCGCAGTTTATATTACGACACATGTGAACAACCTCTTAATACATTGTATTCACCTGACATCATCTTTTTGTATAAAATATATTTATATCTTTTTGCGTAAACGGGATAACAAATAAAAATTAACTTAAACGCGAACGTAAGCGAAAAATTAATAAAATGCAAATTGTCATACTTTCTCTGTAAAATTTTTTTTTATCAATTTACAATCTTTGATTATCATTAATGTATATATTTTAACATGCTATGTCATTTTTTTATGTCGTTAGTAAATTTTGTTAATAAAATATTGTTAATAAGATATATTTAAGAATTAATTTAAGAATTAATTTATAAAAATGTTTTTAATCATTAAAAGAGTTTCAAACAAATATATTTTCTATATCAAAATTATAAAGCGATATTGCATCAGTGAAATGATTTAGTGGTATTAAATTGGTAATTTATGAGTGGTCATTGACCATTGATCGTAACGCTTTGAGAAGGCATATGATCGTAGTCACATAAAACACTAATATACAGTATTTCACTAAACTTTATTCTGCATACTCATAAAAAATTTTACGTTTAACTTTACTATACTTATATAAAATTTTGTCTAAAAATTTCTTTTATGATTTCTTCCTATATGAAATGTATTTTATTATTATTTAATATTTTTAGAGCCTATATAATAAATATATCTTTAACAGTCAATAATATCAAATATATTTTTTACAAATAATGAACTATAAAGATCGCCAGTAATAACTAATGTAATAACTAATCGTAAAATAAATTTTTAGACAAAATTGTATATAAGTATAGTAAAGTTAAACGTAAAATTTTTTATGAGTATGCAGAATAAGTTTAGTGAAATACTGTATATTAGTGTTTTATGTGACGATTATATGCCTTCTCAAAACGTTACGAATAATTACCACTTTGTGGTCGACTTTTCTCATTAAATTTTAAATATATTTTTTATTATTCTTTGTTAAGCATACAACTTAACCATTCATTTTATCTATTTTATTTTCGATGTATTCAATGTAATTGTTGTTTTTATTGCAAAGTACACAATTTTCGCGAGAATGTGTTTACGCTGCACATTTCCTTCACAAAGTAACACATCAATTACACGTGACTACATCATGCAGTTGGTGCGTCAAAAATAGATGTCAATAAATGTCACATCGTACGATATCGTGCGTGATAAGTTAAACTACACTAATATGCTAATTCAACGTTGCGCTTGCAATTCATTCGGTGCAATATTACACTCAATGTCAGTTACAGTGCATCAATGACCTAATTTGGACATAATCTTCAGCATATTACGATATAGTTCGATGTTTCTTATGCTTGATTCGTTAATACTGCTTTATATTGTTTCTTTTTGTGTTATGTGAATTTTTTAAATATTTTAATTTATAAAAATATATAAAAATAGATTTCAAATAATTATCTAATAAAAAATGAAAATAGATTGATCTCTCTTCAAAAAAATATATAAAAAATAAAATATTGCCTTTTCTATCAAAATATAATATTGTAATTTCTTTGTAACAAAACAATTCTTCCTTGAATAGTGTATTTTAGTCTAAAATATTTAGAAAAAAAATTATAATATAATTAAGTAATAACAGATAAATTAATAGATTCTACTCAATTACAAAATAAAGTTAATTTTACGCGAAAATCACAATCTGCTATTATTGTAATGCAAGGAGAGAGAATTCTTGTTTTAAATATAATCTATAAAAAATAATAGTTATACATATAATAGTTATAGAAGAATGTGATTAATATACAAATTAAAAATAAGATAGAAGTTATAAATTATATTTTAATTATATCTTTGTAATAATTATAACTATGTATATTTAAAGAGAGTCATTTGTCTGTTTCAGAAATACCAGAAATTTGGCAGAATATCAACAGATACTTTGTTTTAAGGAACATAAAGTGACGTTTTAGTGCATAATGAGAACTGTCGCATTGTTGAATGACTGTTAAGTGTTTTTTAATAAATTGAAAATTGCTCTTAGCAATACTAGAAACATAATTATCGCGACAAAACAAAGATCATTTGTAGAGTTTGACCTTTAAGATACAGATGCGCGTAGAAAGAAGTAGCTTTAAAACGCAAACACTAGTCACAAATTGTAAAACGGCCTAAATATCAACAAGAAAATCTATTTTACGAGGACACAGCATATATGCTAAGTAGATAATTAATTTTATCTTCTAGTTTTATACAATATTCAGATTAAAGTACTAAAGTAGTAAAGTGAAAAGTGATATAATATTGTGAATTTAACGAGAACATAGCGACTGGCAAAATGCATTCCATACGTGCTCATCAATCATTAAGTAAACACAGAAGTGCTTTACAAATACTGAAGATCGCTAAGAGATACTTCGCCGCAGATGTGGAATATAAACCAATCAGGAGTGTCCTCGTCGCTAATCGAGGTAAATAAATTAATCATTAATTTTTAGTTAAAAAAAATTAAGTATTCTTTAATAGAAATTGTAAAAAAATCTCTTCATTTTAGAGGATTTGTTAACTAATAGTATAAGCTTGATAATTTTTTTTAATAAGTAAAATATAAGTATTTATCGCTATCTCCATTTTTAGCACAAATACAAATAATTGTATGCAAAATTTAAATATTTTTTATTCTGCTCTATTTGCACACTATATATTGTTATATCCTGCTACTTATATAAGTGTTCTATTTATATAATAATCATTATAAATTTATTAGTATTTAATACTGTAAATAATAGAAAAATTTTATCGTGCTTCCTAAATAATGATAAATAATACCTATATAGACATTACTCGAGTATAATTAATTGAACGTTAGGAACTTGTTGATTTTTGTAGGACAAGGTTACGTGATTATTCAAGATGTGCAACAGTTATGCTTGATTTAGAACTAGCATGCAATAATTAGAACGAGAATCTAAAGAGCACATTACTAGGCACTTCGTTTAATTAGTCCGTATCTTATAACACGTGAATCCCACGTGTTGTATTTAAGTGACTTTGATACAAGAGTACATTGTACTATTTCAAAAAATTATAAAATTTGATTTAATTATTATTTATTTATTTTTATTCATTATTGTATGTACAAATGACTAGAAGACAAAAAAAAATAATGCGTGTTAAATTCCTCCTTTACTCGACTTCTTGCAATTATGTTTAAATTTTTAATGCGTGATTTTAACAATGTTATAGGAGAAATCGCCATTCGCGTGTTTCGTGCCTGCTCGGAGCTCGGTATTCGATCCGTGGCGATTTATTCAGAACAAGATAAGATGCAAATGCACCGACAGAAAGCGGATGAAGGTTACTTAGTAGGAAAAGGATTACCTCCTGTTCAAGCTTACCTGAACATCCCCGAGATCATTCAAGTTGCTAAGGAGAACAACGTCGACGCTATACACCCTGGTTATGGATTCCTTTCAGAGAGATCGGATTTTGCTCAAGCGGTGACTGATGCTGGTATCAGATTCATCGGACCTAGACCTAAAGTCGTTCAGCAAATGGGAGATAAGGTATTTTAACCCTTAACCTGCCTCCACAACACATTCCACATCATTGATTCTCCAAATACTCGTAGTTCTCCAAAAATTCTTGAGCCAGATGTCAAAAGTATGGTATGTACATCCAATCGATAGGTGGCTGCTAGACAAGCCGCGATTGAAGCTGGGGTGCCCATCGTTCCGGGAACAGATGGGCCGGTAACGACTTCCGACGAGGCAATAGAGTTCTGCATGAAACATGGGCTTCCAGTTATCTTTAAGGCAGCGTACGGAGGTGGAGGACGAGGTAGGTTTAGAATATCAAGTACTAAGAGTCATTCCGCGCCTTTGTTTATCTAAAAATAAAAAAAAAATACTTATAGTTTTATAAAGTGATTCGCGTAAAATCCTTTTTTAAAACTTCATAAAAATCTTGAGTATATTTCAGATTTTAGGCTGGAAGTGTTTATATATATAATATATTTAAGTCTTAATTAATTAATTAGTCTTAAAATAACTCGGGTCTTTGCTTCATACTTTATTAAAATTAATAGCACTTATGTAAGTTAACTATTGTCAGTCTTATTTTATAAAAACGAGGTCAAGTTGTTCGAGCACTAAAAACATTTAAAAAAATACATTTTAAAGAATACAAGAAACACGTGGAACGTTTTGAAATTATTATTAGTCAAGCTGTCATAATATATTGTTTTGAGTTAGCAATAAAGTTTTTTTCTGATAAAGAGTGTTCACTATCCATTTTTTTTGTTTAAAGTTATTATTTTATAAAAATAATTCGATGTTTTGACATTATTTGACTTAATAAATTTATTTGAAAAAAGTATTATTTGATAATCTTTCATTGAATTTATTAATGTATAAATCTCTGTAAAAAATAAAAAACAAATTAACCATAAAATAACGTGATAGATTATTAGAGACATAAGTGACATATAACGACGTACATAAATCACATAAACAAGAAATGTATATTATGTTATATAATATATAAGTGTGTAAAAAACGCATTCGTTCCATATTGAATGGAAAAACTATATTTGCATACAAAATACGATTACAACAGATTATTTTAACAATAATGGCACAATACATTAGATTTGCATATTTCATAATCCAAGAAAAACAAGTAGGAAATATCTAAAAAAAGAAACATTTTAAAAATCAAAATATTATAAATGCTTTAAAAGATTCTCTTTTTTTCTAATTAAAGATAATCATTGATGAAAAATTTTTCTTACAATGTTTACACATAAATGAAATAAAATATTAAAAATAACAAGATAACATTTTGATTTTATATATATTTTAATATAAAACTTCCCTTTTTTAGTGTATGTTGCACAAAATGTAATATTTTAAAAATTGTATTATTACATGTAGGTATGAGAGTCGTGAAACAAATGGAGGAAGTCCGTGAAATGTTTGATCGTGCGTCTTCCGAAGCCGCAGCTGCTTTTGGAAATGGTGCTATGTTCATCGAGAAATTCATCGAGAGACCACGTCATATTGAAGTTCAATTACTTGGGGACCACGCTGGCAATGTCGTGCATTTATATGAACGTGATTGCTCTGTACAGCGTCGTCATCAAAAGGTCAGTAAGCCGGTTAATTTTCATTTAACTCACGTAATAAGTGATTTAAACATTATTGTTCAAGAATTGACTACTGATGTCGCAATATTCTCGGTAATGTTTATTATTTTTGTACATGTCGAAATAGTTTACTCTTCTTATTTTAAAGACATATTTATTTGTCTTTGTAAATTCACAATTAATTTGCATAAAAAAGAAAATCAATTTGTGGAAAAAATTTAATAATCCAAGTAGTAGCTTTAAAAAAATATTATTCCAGTCACTCATTATTTTAACAGTGCAATCTTTAAATAAATTAACTAATTTTAACTGTTAACTGTTATTTTGAAAACGGAACAAGATTATTCGACTACTAGAGGCATTTTAAAAAGATACAGGAAATATATAAAATATCAATATGCAAAATATGTTTTAAAATTATTATCGCTCAAGCTGTCGTAATATATTGCCTCGAGTTAGCAATCTTCTTCTGCGAAAAAATTAGAATTTTGTACAAGGCTTCTCTTCAAGGATGCTTGAATATGAAAGGCAAGTACATACATTCCCCTGTAACTATTTTGTTTGAAACAAGGACAATGAGGCAATTACACTGTATGAATTACAGAATTCGCGATTTTAATCTGTCCGCAAGTATCATATAAGTAGATCACATAATTTTCAAATTAATAATTTAATTTTATAAACTGTGACGCCCAATTTCATTTTTAATTTCTGAAACAACTTTCTCGTAAAATTTGCAGGTTGTCGAGATCGCGCCAGCTCCGTCATTATCAATCAAGATTCGTGATAAAATGACTGAATATGCAGTTAAATTGGCAAAACATGTCGGTTATTCGAATGCTGGTACTGTGGAATTCTTGGTCGATGAATCTGGAAATTTTTATTTCATTGAAGTCAACGCCAGATTACAAGTTGAACATACAGTAACTGAAGAAATAACAGGGTAATAAAATAGATGTAAAAAATGACAAATATTTCTTTTTACATATTTTTTACATACAATCGTCACATTTCGATTCCTGTCTTCTACTCTTTTTTAATAACTGAAATATATAATTGTGATATTAGTGCATAATTATGTGCATAATATAATTGTAATATATAATTATAATATTAGATATATATTCATTGCTTCTCTCACGCATGTGTATAGACATATCATTTATATTATTTATTCTTTCAGAATTGATCTTGTGCAATCTCAAATTCGAATAGCCGAAGGCATGACATTGCGAGAGCTCGGTATGACGCAAGAAAAAATTAATCCTCAAGGATTCGCGATCCAATGCCGAGTGACTACGGAAGATCCAGCTAAGAACTTCCAACCGGACACCGGAAGAATAGAAGTCTTCCGTTCTGGCGAAGGCATGGGTATCCGATTAGACGGAGCTTCTGCATTTGCTGGAGCTATAATCTCACCATATTATGATTCACTTCTTGTTAAGGTATATAATTGACATAAAATGATTCTCATTAAACATAAAATAATTATCATTATAATACGTTATATCTTAGCTATATCTTATTTTTAATATAAATAACAAATCGCACATAAATGTTTATGAATACATATATAAAGAAACTTTTTTCATAAAATATAAATAAAAATTTTCTGTTTTCCCATAGGTAATCGCCCATTCTGGTGATCTTCAGTCATCGTGCGCCAAGATGAATCGAGCTCTCCGCGAATTTCGTGTACGCGGAGTAAAAACAAATATCCCTTTTCTATTAAATGTTTTGGAAAATCAAAAGTTCCTTAACGGCATCGTCGATACATACTTTATCGACGAGCATCCTCAGCTCTTTCAGTTGCAGCCAAGTCAGAATCGAGCGCAGAAGTTGCTAAATTATCTCGGTACAGTTCTTGTGAACGGTCCGAGTACACCATTAGCTACTCAGCTAAAGCCGGCGGACATCAAACCGCATATTCCACAGATTGCTATAGGTATATAATCGATTATTAAGGAATATAATAATTATTAATAACAATAATTTGGGGTAATGCCGACTAAAAGATCCCTGAAACGTCTTTTGAATTTTTATATCCAAATGATATATTGCAATAATGCAAATTTTATTTAAAATATAATTTTTTTTTAAGTTATAATCAGAACATTCGATAGCCGAATCCGAATCTTATTATAAATTTCGTTATATAAACATTTGATCCTTATTATGTTACAAAATTACTGGCCATAATTAGCACAGAGGCGTACAGAGGATGTGCCTTCATGCGTGGGTCAGCAAATCAGGGGTTGTATTTTTTTATTCTTTTTTTATTTTTTTTATGTGAATGGGATGTTTATTAATTCTTTCATCCAACTGATTTACATTAATATGATTGCTACAGATTAATATATAAATATTAAAAAATAACTGAAGATATAATATTTTTCAAGGTATTATGATCCTAATAATTCTCAATTTGTTAACAAATAAATGAGAAAAATTAATATAGAAAATAATTTTACATTTTTATTATGTATTATGTTTCTAATACATAATAAAATTTTACTCTTATTTAATATTCTTACAGATTTATAAATATCAAATTTAATATAATGTTATATACATATAAACAGTTTTACAATTAATTTTTATTAATATATTTTTTTTTTTTTTTTAATAAAAGTAAACAGTAACGTAAACTTATAATATTTACAAAAGAAACAATAAACATCCTTTTTGCTTATTAATAACAATCCGTTTCTGCTTTCTTTGCTGGGTTTACAGAAACACTCGTTATACCAAAGATCTTTATGTTATATCTTCATTTCTGGTGTGTTTTTGTCTCTAAATTCAAGAGTGATTACTGCACCGCGTCGCATTGCACACTGCACACTGTGCGAATCAGTAAATTGGGTCACGGAACATCTTCATATTCTCTACTTATCGTCATTACATTAGTAACACAATAATAATAATAACAATATAATAATAATAATAACAATATAATAATAATGATAATAATAAGAAAGCATGCTGTTTTTTCTCTCCTTAACGATTAATGTTATTCGTCAATAATTTTCAATATATATCATTATAGACACAATTAAAAAAAATATGCATTGATAATTAAAATTTCATTGATATACAGTATGCGTTCACGAGTGGGATCCAATAATCAAAATCTAAATAAATTCTGAAAATCTTCGATTATTTAAAGGTTTACCATCATATTTTTACATAGAGATTTACATTTTTAGATATATTAATTTCCTCCTCATACACAACACACACTTCATTGTTTATAGCATGCTTTTATTTTTTTGTTTGGCAATTTTTTTAGACTTTGCTAAGCTTGCAGCTGCAGAAGAAACCAATGATCCCGATGCACCAGGTATGGTTATAGTATTATATCATGCTTTTTCCTTAACTTGTACTATAATACATTAAAATTCAGTTTTGAGCAGATTGAGAAGATAAACTAAAGATGGGTATAGTATAACAAAGCAAAATTTTGTATATTTTTTTATTTTATTCTTTTTTCAAATTAGCAAAGCTATTCATCGAAATTTAATTGATTGATTATTTTTGATTACAGAATTAAATATATAAATATGATAAAAGAGTAAGAAATAAATGATCGCTAATAAATGCTATAATAATAATATAAACATATTGCTATAGCATATTAAAACATATAAATTCATTATTTAGTCTATAACAATATTAATTTATAAATGTGCTGCAAATGTTGCGCTTTTAAATAAAATTTCTTTTTATTTTAAGTCTTGAAACACTTTTTAAATAAAAAAAAATATGCTTAATAATGCAATATAAAATAATATTTAATGACCATAAGCATTTTCAAATATTCGCTGTCTTTGTGCATATAATTGCAAAAAAGAGTCAGTAGAAAATAGAGATAATACAGATAATTAATATTCATAAAGATAAGAAGGGAAAATATGTTTAAAATATATTTATAAATATTCAGAGCATACTTTAAAAGATATATTTTTAAAAGCACACTTTATTAATAAATATAAAAATAAATATATAAATAATTTTTTTATTGACTCTTCTTTTATTTATTTTTGACCAGTGATAAATATCAATAACTTATCACTTCTTATAAATTTTCATATACATACATTAACAATAGCACGTATCAAATAACGATCTGTTATTATCAGAAAAGCATCAAATTGATCTTCTTCTGTGCTTCTTTCCAGATATTTTGGATCCTCCACAAGGATTCCGTCACATTTATAAGGAGCAAGGTCCGGAAGCCTTCGCCAAAGCTATTAGACAACACAAAGGTCTTCTTTTAATGGACACTACATTCCGCGATGCTCATCAGTCTCTTCTGGCAACTCGTGTGCGATCGCACGACCTGCTGACAATCTCTCCATTCGTCGCGCACAAATTTAATAATCTTTATTCATTGGAGAACTGGGGCGGTGCGACTTTTGACGTAGCCCTGAGGTTCCTCCACGAGTGTCCTTGGGAACGGTTGGAGGATATGCGCAAGGCCATCCCCAATATCCCGTTCCAAATGTTGTTAAGAGGCGCTAATGCTGTTGGTTACACAAATTATCCTGATAACGTGGTTTTTAAATTCTGTGAATTGGCTGTGAAGACCGGCATGGATGTTTTCAGGGTATTCGACTCACTCAATTATTTGCCAAATCTGATTGTTGGTGAGTTTGGCAAAACTTTATTACAACTAATTTAATATATATTAAAAGACCGGTCTAAATGTTGAAATCTTTTTTATGAAAATTTTTCTATCTTTTTTTGAATTCTTCTTCAGGTATGGAGGCCGCCGGAAATGCTGGAGGTATCGTTGAAGCGGCAATTTCCTATACGGGCGATGTGAGCGATCCGAATCGTACCAAGTACAACTTGAAGTATTATGTCGATTTGGCGGACGAATTGGTCAAAGCAGGTACTCATGTTCTAGCAATCAAAGATATGGCCGGATTGCTCAAACCAAGAGCAGCCGAGATATTGATTGACGCGATCAGACAGAAGCATCCGGATGTACCTTTGCATATACACACTCATGATACCGCTGGAGCTGGAGTGGCTTCCATGTTGGCTTGTGCAAAGAGCGGCGCCGATGTTGTGGATGTTGCTGTTGATAGCATGTCCGGCATGACTAGTCAACCTTCTATGGGTGCTATTGTTGCTTCTCTTCAAGGTATAGTAAAAAGCTCAGTTTTTATTTTTTATTTTTTAATCAACTTCTAAAATAATGTTTTACTTAATTGTAAACAACAATTTTTATTTAATCTTAATGTAAAAAGATAAAATCAATAAAATATCATCAATTACACACTCGTTATAAATTTTTGTTATAAAATCAATATCAATTTAAATTTACTGATAATAATAATAATTGCAATGTTATATATTAAAATTAAATTAACATTAAAATTAATTAAATTTTTATTATAATAGGAACGGACATTGATACAAAACTAGAACTTTCTAATGTCTCGGAATATTCTGCATATTGGGAACAAACGAGAACGCTCTATGCACCCTTCGAATGTACAACAACGATGAAGTCTGGAAATGCGGACGTCTATCTTAATGAAATTCCTGGTGGACAATACACAAATTTGCAATTCCAAGCTTACTCGCTCGGTCTAGGTGAATTCTTTGAAGATGTGAAGAAAGCATATAGACAGGCTAATCTCTTGCTCGGTGACATTATTAAAGTCACGCCAAGCTCCAAGGTTGTCGGAGATTTGGCGCAATTTATGGTTCAAAATAAGCTGACGGCTGATGATGTACTAAATAGAGCAGAAGAATTATCGTTTCCTAAATCGGTGGTCGAGTTTCTTCAGGGCGCTATTGGTGAACCTCACGGAGGATTTCCTGAACCATTGAGGTAAGAAGTATTTCGCCCAAAACATATATTGCACGTATAGTATATCAAAAGCAAATATTTTTCAGTGACCTTTCATTAAATTTAACTTACATTATTCGTAATGTATTCAGATCAAAAGTTCTCAAGGACATGCCACGCGTGCAGGGCAGGCCAGGCGCGAGTTTGTCACCACTCGACTTTACCGTCTTGAAGAAAGAGCTGCAAGAATCTCATCCACACGTCACCGAAAAGGACGTCATGTCGGCCGCGCTTTATCCTAAAGTAACGAAGGATTACCTAAGTTTCAAAGAACAATTTGGTCCAGTAGATAAATTAGACACCAGAGTCTTCCTTACGGGACCTAAAGTGGGCGAGGTATTCGATGTCACAATTGAAAAGGGTAAAACTCTCGGTATCAAAACTCTGGCAGTTGCCGAGGATCTTACGAAGAATGGTGAACGCGAGGTATTCTTTGAAATGAATGGCCAGCTGAGATCTGTGTTCATCAAGGATAAAGAGGCTGTCAAGGTAAACTTTCGATATTATACATCCTCATTCTATGTCAGAATACTGTAATTAAATTATAATTAAGATGAAAGTAAAATATTAAATCATAATTGGAATAAAATTAAAATAGAAATTTTTATTAGAAAATAAGGTTATCATTAAAATTGAAATAAGATGGCAATTAAATTAACATTACATATATATCAATTTCAAACAATGTCAAATTTTATATGATTTTTTTTATTCTCTATGTAGGAACTTCATGTGCATCCGAAAGCTGTAAAAGGTGATAGCAATCAGCTAGGAGCGCCGATGCCCGGTGAAGTGATTGACATCAGGGTAAAAGTGGGTGATACAGTAGAAAAAGGCGCACCATTAGTCGTATTGTCAGCCATGAAGATGGAAATGGTCGTACAGGCGCCAAGAGCAGGAAAAATTAAGAGTCTTGATATTAATTTGGGTATGAGACTTGAAGGAGATGATCTCGTCTTGACATTCGAATAACTCGACTCTCGTATTAATGAAACTGTAAGTCAATTCGCAACTTCTTCGCTTAAAGATGACAATGAATATTTATTGCAAAATCTGTTTGCTTCGATAATCTGTGTGAAAGATATTAAGCTCTTCATCATACGAAATCTTTGCTATACGGAATTTAAATCTTTTTCTATTAATTCTATTTTTATACATTTCTGTGATCAATAATTTTGTTTAGAATCGTCGATCACTATATATCGAAGTAGCCAAGTGGACAAATTCGATTCTTTATTATAAATGAATTTTTGCCATATATTGTAAAACTTTTGTAATAGTTATTATTCTATTTATTAGGTTGTATATATTTAGAAAATCACATCCTATATGATATGCTATATAAAAAACTGTTTTTTTTTTAAATGTAGACAATTAACACAGACTGTCACTTAACGAAACATACAGTTTCGTGTAGAACAAATTATTTTGTTAATTTATCTTTATTTTTAAAAACATTACAGTTTTATTTTAAAATAAAATTAAAAAATTCTGTACATATTATTTGTATATAAAGCAAATGGTCAATATAATGTGATAAAGTCGAATGAAGCTGCCTGAAAGATAATATAAAAATATTAATATTATATAAATAATATTAATATAAGAAAATTTATTTTTCTTTAAAATTTAAAGAATTCGATAATATGCTATTGCAATTTTCAATACAATGCGTTTTTCAAGAGTTTTGTATAAAATAAGCAATTGATGAATGCTTGTTGGAAACTTGTGAGAATTTTACATTTAGTTATACAGAAAGACATATATATATTAAATATATTCTTTTTATATATTTTAAAATATAAAATAGATTTCTAAGAAGTGTACAATTGTAGTCAAATTTGAAATAAAATTGATGCATTTAAGAAGAGAAAGAAAACATTAACTGTAACTGTAAAAATTATGAAAATTTCTTGAGCTCAATTATTTTCAGTGTATTAATGACAATATGTTTCATATGTATATCAAATATGTTTGTATAAATCGATTATATCGGCATGATTAATCTTATCTGTGTTTATAATGAACAATGTAGAAAAGAACAAAAAAAAAGATCAAACATTTTTTCTCTTCAGCTGTTCAGATTCTATATTAATTGTAGCATGTATAACATAATCAATCATCCTGATAATTTAATTACGATAATTCAAGCTAAGCCTTCACGAATGATTTAGCATGTACACGGAAAAAACTTATTCAGGGAACAAAGACGAATATTTCTAAAAAACCTTGTCTTTGTCTTAAAGATCAAGATCAAATGTTATGTCTTTTGATAAAAAACGAAATCATTGATTAAAAAATATTTTTAGCAAAAAAAATAATAAGCAAGGCATATATATCTATGTTTTATAATTTTATAATTACCTTAACATATAATTTTATTAAATTATTATCAATACATATATATAATATGTCCTGTTAACAATCGCAAATGTTCAAAATATTTTTGGTTTAATTTTTTTAAATCCAAATGCTATTAAAATTACCTTATTTTTATTATATTCAAATAAAAATTGATATTATTTTGATATGATACATTGCACATATAATGCTCGAGATTTAACACATTATTAATAATATTGATTATTTATTATTAATAATAAATATTTTAAAGATCTGAGAGATAGAAATTCTTCTACCTAAAAAATTTTTAAATGAAAGAATTAATAACTTAATTATTACTAAGAATGTGAGGACAGGATCTTAGGAGATAAAAAAGCTTTAATATTCTGTAAAATTTGAAGCTTAGTGCATCCATTTATTGTAATAATCCATCATATACTCGAAAGAAGAAGAAGTTTTCATGACTCTCTGCAAATATGCGAAAACGTGGCAATAGACTTGTCATCTTTAAATTTGGGCGTATACAGCTCATAAATGACAATGGTAAGAGACTGTCACCGAACGCCGACAAATATATATATATTTATATTATATATATATATATAATTTGTATATATATAAAACATTGTATAAGTTAACATTTCTGACTAAACTCTTATGTATCGAAATCGATACAATATAATTACAATATATCTGTATAATAAATATGAAATATTGATATATATGTATTATGTTTAATATGTTATATACATATATATTTATATATATATACTTATATATATATAAATATATATATATAATCGTAATATTTCTGCTTCAATATATTTAGCAATATCTTGTCTGAACAATAAAAAGAATTTTTTTTTAATATTTTTATATCTTTTGATAAGTTTCACGAGATTACTTGCTAAGAAGGTCCCGAATTTTTCACGCATTTCGCGTCCATTAAAAGAAACCTGGTTTCCATTATAGACTGCGTTATCGCAATTGCATATAATTTATACTAAAGCGATTTTCGGTGACTAGATATTTTGAAACCGTAGATTTCTCCGTTTACAAATACTTACATTGGTAGTAACATGATACATGCAAACTAGAGGTAAACATGTGTGTCGATGAGAAAGATAGAGTGAACTAGTGAGAAATTTTGGAAGGCAAAAAGTGGGCAAATTCTTAAAACCATCGGCCCGATCGATGAATTATTTCACAAATAATTGGCATATTATTCGTGAAAATTATGGCATCAACTCGATGAGTCGGTAGTTTGATAGTAATTGCTTGTTGATAAATTTCCCCACGTTATGGCACACGTTTGAATAAAGTAGCTAAAACTAATAAGTTGAAATCGAAAGCGATATCGCTTAAAAAACAGATTACCATACCATGCACACATATTGTCATCATTATTAAATAATATAAACGTGAGGGTTGAAATAAGTTTACGACGCATAAAGGTTGAACTTTCAAAGCCGCATCTGATAAAATGTGCATAACACGCGATTTAACCCTTTGCGTCCCAAGGTTACCATCATGCTAACCATAATGTGCACTTATTTTGCACTCGTATCCGTTTGGCTATTCTGGTATATGAAGGCCACTCCATAATTGTGAATATAAATGCGTATTATTTATTTATACTATGCTCAAATTCGTTAGCTGAATTTCGTTCATTATACTCAAATCATAAAGAGTTAATCGCTGATTTGTAAAAATAGACGTTTATAAATATACAATATATAAAAATAATATATCACAAATGGTGCATTTTAACCAAATATTTTGTCTTAATAAAATCAGAAAATAACATATATCTTATAATAGTGATATAGAAATAAATAACATTATATACATTTTAATTAATAAAACACATTTTACTAATTTTACTAAGAATTTAAAATACTTTCGTTGTAAAATTTGTTTCTATCATCACTAAAACAACATATGTTCGTTGAATCAACAGGTTCTTCGATGTTAATAATTGGTCGCGTGACGATATCGCGTATTCATTTAAGTCAATATGCCAAGGTAGGGAAGCTGCTCAACAAGCGAATATGTATCTCTTAAGAATCGGCTTTTAGTACAAACAGTAGATAAGTATAGCGTAGGTATTCAAAGTAGAAAGTGTAAAGTATCACAAGAATTACAATAATCGTAATAATTACATTACGTCGCAAATATTAAGTTTTTGACCTTATTACATCGATCGCACAGTAATTATAAGCGCTTTAATCGCATCCCGCGCTTCGGACACGCGCCGATAGACAAAGGGATCTCTATCAAGTCGGATAATTCTCTGTAAATACATCAGTCTTTGACACAATAATTATAATAACACCATTGACAGAATAAAGCCGCGAGAAAGATTTTATGGCATGAAGACAAAAGTACTTACATAAAACACGACTTGTATTTAGAACATGGTCGAATGTAATGTGCTGCATTGCCAGAGGAAGATATCTCTCCGGATAAATTCTGAGAAGGAGATTTTAATAGAAGAGAGAAAATGGATTTTTTTTAATGAAGTCCATTAATATGGTACATAAGCACTTATCATGTAGCTCAGCAGAATTGCTTTTTATGCGTGATAAGCCAAATTACTCGATTGGAGAATAAGACGTCAATCCTGTTATTGTGTTGCAAAAAGTGTGTGTTTCTGTTATACATAGATTTTGATTATGAGTACAATATGAGATTTTAAATCTATCTATCTGGAACCGGGATTACAATGATAGATAAATAATCGATAGTTGTATGGATATTTTTATGTCTTATACTATACAAAAGTTTATGCATAATGTTTGTGCTGGAATAGCAGAAAGAAAATAATTAGTAAAAAACAATAAATTTATCTAAGTTCTAAAACGTACATAATGTGACAAAACTGTGATAAAAGTATCACAACGCGACAATGAATTTAACTTCGCTAAAGTTCTCTCGGTTCCATCTTTTTGAGCGAATTTCGCTCTAATAAAGATATAATTGTAACGATTTTATACTTGAAATTCTGCCAGAATTAGCAGCAATTAACTAACATTATTATCAAATTTCGATCAAATATTTTAGCCCACAAAGGTGCACGCACCGAAACCAATTCCCTTAGGCCATACAATTTATTTCCAATATCTGTAATCAAAGCGTATGCGAACAACACACTGTAGCTCACAATTTAAGTCGCTGTGGCTTGCGGCTGAGGCGGTGTCGGCGCCTGTGCGTTGACATTTGGCCTATAAAACCGATTGACTAATTGTTTCAAACTCATTACAACGCCTAATCCAGTTCCTGCTTCCATATTGATGAATGAGTCAAGATTATCCTTGCACGCTGGAACGTTTAGAGATGCAACGAATAAATGTCAAATAGACAATCATATACATATATATTTACACACATACATGCTATTTAAGAAATTGTGGCGTAATAAAAATCAGAGTGATTAAACAAATAAATATTTGCAAAAAATTACTATAGAACAGATCATATCAATTTTGATTACGATTATGCAAATGTTTCTAAAAATTTTTAAGAAATTATAATACTTCAAGAGTTATACAGGAAATTTTCAAAAAAATTCAGAACTTTGTTAGATCTCTACATACTTGGTGTCGAAATCGGAGGATAATCTGGCGGTGTTTTGATCCATGTGCCATCCTTGCGTTTCATATGATGCCGACTTGATGCGAACTGTTGCAAATATACGCTGGCAGGTACCAGACGGAATCTTCTGTGATATTCAGGCCGCAATGCTTCATCAGATCTGAAGGTCTCGGTGGCATATTTCCAGAAATGTGTAGGGAACGGCAGGGAGCTCTCTAAATCGTACACCACTGCCCTCTCATCGGGCGCATAGATGAGAATAGCATGATAATCCTATAAAGACAGAACAATTCGTGAAATATTATAAAAAAACGGAGGTGTTTTTTGAATTAATTATCATCCTTTTATTGTAATACTAACCCACACAACTAATTTGTCCTCGTCCTTTCCTGCCCGTTGACGCCAAAGGGGAACGCTTCGTCGCGAATTGCTTACGAAAACAACGTGACAATGTTGTAATTCGGAAGGATGCCTAGTCGCTACATCTTGGCAAAGCTTCCATACATTTTCTTCGCTGAAATTGAGTACATGTTTCCTTTCATCTTTATAATAAAAAACGAAAGGCTAATATCTTGATTTATTTTTTGCGCAAATCGTAATGAAATAATTTAATTATTACATATTACAATTAATAAAATATATACTCAAATTGAAATTGCAAAGTGTATTGTATATAAAAAATAACCATGTATAATAAAATTAAAATGTAAAAATATGTTTAAAAATCTCATATGATATCATATTTCGTGTCATATCAATATCAAGCAAAATATTAAAGATAAAATGCAGAGTAAAAAGGTAGGTAATGTAATATATTATTAAATAGATTTAAAAAAATACAGTGTAAATATATCAATTAAAAGTGGTCATTGATTACAAAATAACACACAATTCATTATTCATATTATGTATTAATAAATAAGAAAATATATTTAAAAGAAATATAAGCATCTTCTCTCACTCCATCTGCTAGCATTTATTTTTTTAAGAAAAAAAGAAAAAATTTTATCTTGAATTATTTATTCTATATTAATGCCTTAATAAAATATAAAATATCTAAATTTAAAAAATAAAATATATGTAAATTTATATACATGTCTCATAAAAATAAGACAAATTAGAGATTAATAAACAAATATATGTATAAACACCATACAACTCTGAAATATTATATTCAGCAACTATAAAATATTAAATCTAGTACGATAAAAATGATACAATGGAATTTTAATTGTAGCATATAGTAAAATTCAACCTGTTAATTCAAGAGGCAAAAATGGCAAAGAGATTTCCACAAACATTAATAAACATAATACATTGTTATTAATTGGAATAATCATAAATTTAGCACAATAAAAAGATTAGTCTAATTTTCCAACCAGGCTACGTGCCCTTTATAATTATAAGAAAAAGGAAACGAACGTAAACGCGTTCGTGCAAGCGGTTTAACATAACACGACCTCGCGTGTGCATTATCTATCGTATGCATTATTAATTGTAACAAAAGCGGGTTCATATATTCGTACTGCTTAAATGGCACGTAAACGAGCCACGAAACGACGTAATATTGACACATGCCTTAAATCAGTAAGTACTCGTTATTCCAAAACCTATTTCAGAAATAGCTAGAATAATATAAAACATAAATAAGCAATCGCATAAAATTTTTATTTGTGACTACACACAACTAATTTATTTGCAAAGAAATACGCATTTATTAATAGAGAAAATCATATAAAAATAATAAAAAATATATTATGCATGTGTAAAATAAATGTTAAAATTATATACGTATATGTCAAATTTAAATTAAATTTTTAATAAATATATCATTTTTATAAAATGCATATAGGAATGTTTATATTATTAACACAATGACATAACATACATAGCTGAAATTGATATATCTCGAAAAAATATAAATTTCCATATATTTATATAAATCAAGACTTGGTCATGAAATACACAAATTGATGAGACAGATAAGTCTGATAAAATTTCTATTAATCTATTCGACGTGAAATTGTTTCTTTGTTTTTAAACAATCAAAATACATATAGCATACGTTGTCAGAACTACTGGTCTATTTTTTATTTTGTTAATTCGCCAACATTTAGTCAAATCAAAATGTAAATTTTTGACGAAGAAGGATATCTAATTCAAATTTATTTATATTGTGTTTCGGCGCGCACATACTGCAAAGATGGCCGCGAACTCGCTCGCGGCTGTCTGCACCATCGCGTCGCAACGTATCGATCGGAGCACGGATGCATGCCGCAATACGACGCGTTTATTTGTCCCGAGGATCGATCGCCGCCCCCTGGGGCACGCCATGTCGACCGCAAACCGCGGCTATGTCGGCCATGAGTACTCACCAGTAGCAGCTCGTGTTCACGCAATCGGACGCCTTCGTGAACAGCGGCACCAGGGGCTTGGCGTTCCCGGTCACGCGAGGTTCCACGGCCATATCCTACGTTCGTTTCTTATCGGACCTGGGGGCACTACGCGACAATACGACGCGAGCCGAGACACTGACACCCGCGCGCGCGTTAATAAGCGCACTTCGCGAGTTTCATAACGAACTGTCAAAAATTACTGCGCGTCTCTCTTTCGTCCTCTCGATAAACACTCAGCCGCGATCCGCGCACTCGACTGACCTGAACATTGTTTGATTACTGCACTCAGTGCGGCTCGCCAGTGTCCCCAGATCGAGAAAATCCCCCACTCCGCGACACATCTAGAGACCTGCGCAGTAGAATATTGCTTTAGCAGACAATGAGTGTTGACAATGAGACGCGACGTAGAATGTTTCTCTGAGAACTGAGAATAATATTTTTTTTTATTTTCTTCGATTATTTATATGCTATACTGAAGTATATTAAAAGTACTGTATCAATTATTACCTGGCAAATATTAGATATATTTGAATTTTGTGTCAAAAATGTCAATTATTTAAAAAATCCCCCGTTTGTTTATCTTTTAATTACTATATATATTTACATATCGCTATCCTAAAATACATATATAAACATAAAAAATGTGTTTAAAATATAGTAATTATCAAATATGGTGATTGAATATATATAATTGTATTTAAATCTGTTTTTCTTCAATCAAAATATTTTCTTAAGTAAAAAAAGGTTTGCTAATATATATATAATTATATATAAAATAAAAATATATTCAATTTAATTATTCAAAAATCATAAATATATTTACAATCTTAATAAACCGGGAAATAATTGCTATTATCTCTATTTTATTACACAATTCATTAACCGTGTGCATTATATATTTAGCTATTAAAGTGTCGTATCTTTTTTAATTTTTTAAAGTTCTTTTTTTGTAATGGGGTTAGCGATACTATTTTTGTAATAAAATATGTACGTGATTAAAAACTGAGTGACTAATATGTACTTGGCTACATATATACACACCTTCGTAAATTTTTTTTGATTTGATAATATTGCGCAAACATGTCGCATGTATGTGCCTCTATGAATAGTGCGAAAATAAACACGAATAAAATGCAATATATTGCATTGTTCGCAATTGTGTGGCAAACTATTATCATTGAGAAATATTATAATATTAGATTTACTTGACTATAATTTTTTATTAATAGCTTTATGAAATAAAACTTTTATTTTGTACTAACAATAAATCGTGTAAATGACATAAAAATTAATGTTTTTAAATTTAATTTTGACATATATATTGCTATTTTTTATATTGATATTGTCCAATTTAATGAATAAAATTAGCATTTGAGACAGTATAAAAATAACTTTGTCAATTGTAAAAAAAAAAGTTATATATTTACATTTTTTTCAACAAACGTCATAAAATATGATTTTGTGCAAAACGTTTCTAATCTTTACATATAATTAAAACATATTGAAATTGTTTGTCCGTAACTAACGTTGATAATGATAATGTGAAGACCTTGTGCTCTCCGTGGATATCACATGACCACATGACTACTTATATCATGCTTATCATGCTTATAAAGCTTGTCCACATTCGTCCTATTTTTCAGTTTCCGCTGATTTCGTGTGGAATATATATCGTTGTGTTTATACATTTGTTTCAATCTATTAAAGTCACATAATAAATTGTGTAATATACGAGATAATAACAATGGCTATAAATGCTGCAAAAGCTGTACTTAAACAAGGAAAAACGGCATTATTTATATGCGATGTTCAGGAAAAATTTGTTAAGGCTATACACGAATTTGATAAAATTGTCCAAAATTCAACAAAATTGGTAAATCAATCTATCAAATTATACATAACAAATATATGCTTATAATGTGTATATATACATGTATATACCATATGTATATACGAATTTGTTTATATGTAAATGTAAATACATGTAAATATACATAATTTATAATTTATACAATTGAAATAATTTCATATATTAGAAGGTTATGGTATTTTGTTATGTAATCAAATATTATGATTCATTTTTAAATTATTATCATAAGTATATTATAATGTAATGCATCACTATACAATATAAAATACGATTGTTCACAGATCAGTGCTTTGAAACTGTTGAATGTGCCTATGCTGGTTTCTGAACAAAATCCAAATTCTTTAGGGAAAACTATACCTGAATTTGATATCTCTGGAGCAAAAGGACCTTTTGCAAAGACTCAATTTAGTATGCTTACTCCTGAAGTAAGTACAAATCTTGCATATCTATACAATAAATATTGTAATATAGTATTAGGTATAAATATACAATTTATTTTACTTTTTTAGATTTGTAAGGAGCTTGAAACACTTTGTTTTGGAAAAAAACCAGAGTCCATTATACTCATAGGCATCGAAACACATGTCTGCGTAGAAAATACAGCTATTGATTTGAGACAAAATGGTTACGAGGTTCATACTGTTGCAGATTGTTGTTCTTCACGTACTCAGGAAGATAGATTATTAGCTTTAGAGGTAATTGTTTTTTTCTCAATTTAATAATTATATATATATATATATTTTTTTTTTTTTAATAAAAAAATTTTTATAGAGAATGCGAGACATAGGATGTCATATATCTACTTCTGAGAATGTTATATTTAAAGTTTTAAGAGATGCAAATCATGAACAATTCAAAAATGTACTGGCTCTCATTAAACCACCAACTCTATACACAGGACTAGTTTCTACGTCAAAGATATAAATGTTCTTAAAAAATTCTCTACATATTAATTATTATATATCAATATATATCAATCATAGATCTTATATCAATGTTTTATATAGTATAGCTTTTTTCACAGTTGTTTTTAATATATTTTAATAGAATATAGTAATTTTAAGCAATTGTAAGCAAACAAAAAAATAAAATATTTTATCAAAATATTAATGTTTTATTTGTACAAGACATAGAAAATATAACACACTGTATTAAAATAGTGTGTAATGTAAAATACAATATGTAATAATAAAGTACACTGCAAATGAAATAGATATGAAAAACTGAGCTTAACTTGTTTACTTCATGCCTGTTGAGCCAAATCCTCCTGTACCTCTATTTGTATCATTTAGAGATTTTACTTCTTCTAAGCTAGGATACATAATCCTTTCACATATTAATTGAGCTACACGATCACCAGGTGCAACTTCAAAATCTTCATTGCTATGATTAAACAGTACTACGCCAAGATTACCACTGTAAACAGAAAATAAAAATATATTAATATATTAATATTGAAATTCTTTAATGACATTTGTATGTATATTATAATATTATATTATACATATATATATATATATATATGTATATAGAGAAACTATATACATACCGATAATCTGCATCTATAACACCTGCGCCTACATCCAAGTGATTTTTCCATGCTAACCCAGATCGTGGGGCAACTCTGCCATATGTACCATGAGGAACTTCTATTTGTAAATCAGTCTTAACTAATTCCTTGCCACGGGCTGGTATAATATACTTGTATGCACTGTATCATACAAGAAACAAAATATCTTAAAAATCTTTTATATAATTTATAAATAATTACTTTAATCACTGTTTATACAAGAGACAAAATGTTATAGTAATTATCAAACATTATCAAAAAGACATTATGTTATAATAATAAGTAATTATTAAATTTACTTAACATATACTTTGTTATGAATTGAATAATTAGGTTACTTATATTGAAGCTTATATTAATATTTAATATATAAGTATCTGTAATATCTGTGCAATAATTAAATAATAACAAAAAGACATTACTGTCCGACCAAATTGCTTTTCGCAAATTATTTGCATAGTGCTTGGTAACAACAATGAACAGTAGAAATTAATATCCCCTTTAGGAATGATATATACCTTCGTAAATCGTATCCTGCTGCATATTCTGAACCTTTTGTCGGCGCAAATGCTTTGTCCGACAATTTCGCGAATTTTAAAGACATTCCCAACTCTTTTTCAGACATAATTATTATCTGTGAGGCTTCACTGCAAACACGTCACAAATGCCACGCTTTACCGGACTAATCTATCGGTTTGCCGCCAATTTTTGGCGGCAGACGGATACAGCCATATTGGACATATTTACATATTTACATTTCATTATCTTATATTTATATCTCCATTATTATATTGTTATAAACTTACTTCTGTAATAATCGACGTAAATTGCAAAGCCAAAAAAGAAACGTGACATATTCCAGCAGTTGCAGTTGTTGGGAACTATGTATAATAAAATCAATAAATTAAACCGCGAAATTCAAATAAATGTATCTATTTTATTGCAAAAAAATTGCAAGAGATAAATATATATCTATTAAAAAAATGCTTTTAAATAACGTTAAATAAATTTTGTCGCTATATTGTTCATATTGCCAGTGTTTTTAATAATACTTGTTATGATATGACAGCTAATATTATTAAAATTTTTAAAAACTCTTATCTTTAAAAGAATTGTAATAATAAAAGAAAAGATGTGTCCAACAATATTGAAATGGAATAAATAATAATATATATCTACACGTCTGTAGACACTCTGGGAATAACAATAATGTATATATTGTTGACATCAACAATATGTATACCGACTTTTTATTTTCATGGAACTGCATAAAACATCTCGTACATATAGATCGTCATTGTTCGCATTTAAAATAAAAATAGCATATAAAAGTGAAACGTTTCAGCACATATCTGATACTCGAAGAAACGTGCATGTACGTGGTTGACCGACTGTGTGTAACGCGCATGCGTAGATCTCGAAAATGAAATCGATATATAATCGCACAATATAATTAACATATGTTCATAATATATGATCTGTCACGATCAGCTGATAGTTGTCAATTAAAAATTTATTCGAAAAGAGCTACACTAAATCATATATTTATATGTCTATGCACTAAATATCTCTAATTATGAAAAATTTTTTAATCAATTGTCATTTTTATATATACATATGCCGATGATATATATATATATATATAATAAAACATATTAAATTTATTCAACTTAATATATATATATATATATATATATATATATATATATATATTAACAATAAGCATATTTTGTTCTATCTTCTGCTCGTCTTATTTTTAGTGCTCCTCTCCAACTCTTCTTTCTTTTTATCGAAATATTTACAGCCGATATGTTGCTGCTCATATATAATATCGGTAAATGGATTATATCCTTCTTCTCGTTAATCGAGCCGTTGTGCGTTAATTACGCATGATATACGTGTCCCATTTTCACTATATAAGTAATCGAACCCTTTTGTTTCATAATATGCAACTTTATTACCGTAAGAGCACTTAATACACGGATATCAAGTCTCTTGTCACGGCAAGGTTAAAAGCCGTTTTTTATGGAATAATGGCAAAACTATAAAAATAGGTCGAAAATAACTGTATAAAATGTTTCGAAGGAGTAGTCGTACAAGCTATCTTGTCATACGGAAGTCGCTCTGACACACACCTGATTAATAATCGTAAAAGAGTCTGAGGTAGGATCGATGGAGAGACCCTCGAACTTAACCTTAGGTTTTTTAATAAAGCACAATATGATGCGCTTCGATAAGAAAATATGCATATCATCGGCTTTATGTGCTAAAAAGGTCGGTCCATTCAAGCACAAAGTCTTAGTTTACAGGTAATTAAATGTATTTCTAGAATTAAAATATTAAATATTTGTTAAAATTTATATGTTTTTTTAAATGAGAAGAAGAGAAAGAAACATGCAAAGTGTAATTCGAGTGTAGTTAAAATGAACAAACTTTAAGATTCTCCTTCACTCTATCGAGTTTACTCTCTTATGAATTTTTGAGTTCATGAATTATTTGGAAAACTTTCAATATGTCAAATGAACGTTTATTGAAAGAATTTTTGTTGATTAGATGATTGTTTAATGCGTATATATAGTGTTTTCGTAAACAATTGTGATCTAATATTATATAGAATATGTTGAAAATAATATGAAAATGCAATAGACAGAATTGAATCTATTAATCTGTCAATAATTAAGGCTAGTATGTTACAAATATTCTTGACTCATTAAATTGATTACATAGCATGTTTGGAATTTTATTTTTATTAGAAATAATTTATTAGATTGTTTTCCAATTTGCAAAAAACTTCTTTATTTATACAAGTGTATGGTTATAAATATTTACATATAATATCTAGATCTAAATTAATTTCAAATGCATTTAATGCAAATTTATTGCTTTATATTTTATGAAACTGTAATATATATATCTTAAATATATATGTTGTTTATTAATTATAGTATTTAACATAAGAAATGAAATTTGAATGGTTAAATTTATTTATTTGTTATTTATGTGTACATTTATTTATAATTGTAACTGAGCTTTATAATACTTTTTTTTATTTTAAGTATGCATGGTTTTGTTTCGTTTGTCAGAGTTAAAATGTCCAATTCAGAGGCTGGTGTAGGATGCATCAGTGAGGTAACACTTGCGATTAGTAAAGCAAGAAGTTCTCAAGCAGGTACTGTGAGAGTTCTTGATAGTCCTGACTCAGATGGATCTGGCCACTCAAATTCATTTACTGTGCAACGATTTAATTACCCTACTGATAGCAATACCAACTCAGATATTCTTCAATCTCCTCTCACTAGTGACGATTTAAGAATACCTATTGTTGGTTATGAAATTATGGAAGAAAGAGCTAGATTTACAGTTAGTTAATTCTGTATATTAATAATTCTTTTATTCTCTCTTATTACTTTGCATTATATTAAATTATACATTGACATAATAACATTTTTTCTATTATTATAACACACAAGTTTAAATACTGTATCTTATATACATAAAATATATACCCTTTATACATATTAATTATATATAAAGTTTTACTTTAAAATGTAAAACTGAAATATATGAGAGTTCTTATTCATATGTGAAATATTTTAAAATTTAATATGTTGTCTCTTTGTGATTTATAGGTTTACAAACTTCGAGTTGAATTGAAAAATGGTGATTGTTGGTTTGTGTTTAGAAGATACACAGACTTTGTTCGATTATTGGCTCAATTAAAAAGGCAGAAAGTTCCTATTACCCATTTATCACTACCAAGAAAAAAATGGCTTGGGGATAATTTTGCTCCAAGTTTTTTAGAAGAAAGAATACAAGGACTTCAAGCATTTGTTAATGGCATATTGAGTAGTCCAATTCTCATAGGTGTTTCGTGTGCAAGAGAATTCTTCTGTTTGGATGAACCACCTGTCTTATCTGATACAGCAGAGGAATCTAGAGTTAGTTATATTATTATATATATATATATATATATATATATATATATATATATATATATATGAGATTTACAAATCACAGCAGTTTTTGTGTTGTTCAATGTAACATCTAATTTTTTCAGGCAATATTTGAAGCATTGGAAGATACAATATATAATTTAAGACAACAACTAAGAGAGCGTGATGCAATACTCACATCTGAAAAGGCTCGATGCAATGAATTCCGGAAAAAGCTTCATCAAATATTGAGGTAAGCGACGAAATATATTATAAATATTTTCTTTTTTATAAAACATTATTCTTAACTTTTTCAGTGAAAGACAAACCTGTTCAAAATGTAGTGCAACCCAATAATAACTTTATAGATTGTTAGAATAGATCTGATAGAATTAATTTGTACAAAAAATCATGCTGTTATGAAAAAATTAGTATATATAAGATTTTGTAAAAGCTCTCGTTATAAGTAGAATTTTTATGAGTGATATTTTACAGGCAGGACATTATCTTAGCATTACTTTATCAGTATATGAGCTTTGTATATAAAATTCTACTCCTAAGTTTTTTAATTTGACTAAATATTTGATACAAATTTTTAATAATTGATATTTAGTGAGAAATCACAAATGATATTTCATCTAAAGAGATTAATTTCTTTGATATAAGTTTAAAGATAATAACAATTTTTTATAGTATGGTAATTCAAATCTTTATTCAAACTGAACAAAAAAAAGTGTAGAGGTAAAAAAAAACTTTTATGTATTTATGAATTATAATATTTTTGCATAATCTTTAATATTTTATATAAGAAATTGTATATTTACTTTCTTTGAAAAAAAATTATAAATTATAATTTAGAATGAAATAATACATTTTATATATATATATATATATATAAAATTTATTACTTAATTAAGATATAATTTATTACTTGTACACGCATTTATATATATATATATATATATATATATATATATATATATAATTATAAATTATAATTTATAATTCTTAAATTATCTCTTATTTATTATTGTTAATTATATAAAAATATAGATAATATTTTTATTGTTTATTATTAGTAGTACTAAAAAATGTTGTATGTATATAATATTATTTTCAGTTTTATTTTCTCAGAATATTATTTTACATATAACAAAATGTTATCAGATATATATAATAAGTGTTAATCATTATATAAAACGAGTATATTACAATAATCAATAATGCATTATTTTGTCAGTGACAAAATAATTTATTATATTTTAGTAAAATAATATTGCACAAATATACAAAATCTTTCCTAATTATTTATATCTCATTATATATACATTGATACTTCATATTTTCTATATAAAATAGTTTAATTACAATCAATATAACAAGAAAAACTTATATAAAAATCGTTTAATTGTATAATGTAATGCATATTGATTTTATTTATACTTGCACAGACTATTTTATTGAAATTTTAATTTATTTGTTAGGCAATAAAAAAGTATATAAAATACATAATAGCGCTATTTTTTTGCGAATTACGAAATGCATATATAACACAGAGTAAAAATGTGAGCAAATATTTTATGTATTTATTTTTATTAATAATAGATTTAAGAAATATTTTATCAGTCTTCTTGTTTATCTGGTGCAACAACTAGGCATAATGCTTGTATGAAGTATGTCAGTTTGGCTGAAAAAAAGAGATTAAATGTAAATCTTATATTTGTAGATAAGCAGATTATGTGTTCTATGGTGACAATGACACAGAAACCTCTTTTACACAAGAAGCTTCTATATTCTATATAGTTTCTAATCTGATTACACTCACCTGATAAAGTATTTTTTATCTTCTTGTATACAAAAATATGGTACACAACGATACCACATAGAATAAATGCCAGCGCGAAAAGATATTTCGTCGACGGTTCATAAACTATCGGTAGTACTGCAAGGAAGATAGAGATGGCTAACACTAGCCAAGGTATCACGATAGGCACAGCATATGGTCTAGGAGCATTTGGTTTGGTCCGCCTCATGATTATAAGCGATATCATCGCTAATCCATAAAACACCCACATAAGAAAACTGGCAAATTCAATTAGAGCGATTATATCACCCAGTAGCAGGCACAATAACGAGAGTATGCCCTGAAAGATTACTGCGGCAGCCGGTGTCATCTTCACCATATGAACGTAACTGAAGACTCTTGGCACGTGGCCTTCTCTGCCTGCGACGAAACATAATCTGGACACGCTGAATTGCACGCTAAGCGCACATCCGAAGGTCGACAACGCTACACCGAGTGGTATTGCGAAACTCATCCAAGAAGGTAGCACTCGGTCTGCCCAAAGAACCGCCACTGCTGGCGCGCTCACCATCTCCGATGTCGTCAACGCTGCCATGTACATCAAGTTCATAGATACATACAGTACGGTGATAGCAGGTACCGCGATAAGGGTACTCCTAAGGATATTGACCTCGGGTCTCTGAATTTCCTCTGTAACAATCGCAGCCGAGGTCCAGCCATCGTATGCCCAGAGACCGCTGTAGAAAGCCAGAGCAATGTTACCGGCTGACGTGGTTGTGCCACGAAAGGGATCCTTGAGGAGTTCCACGTGACCTGTACCTAGCCAATATATCCCACCGCCGATCACCACAATACAGGCGAGTATTTTACATACAGTAAACACGTTTTGTACCTTTACATAAAGTTTCACGCTAATGAGATTGATGTATGTTATTACAGCAAGCGCCATGACCGCCAAGAGTTTCTTCAAAGTCGCCATAGAGTCGTCGGATAGATTGCTGAGGTATCCGGAGAACGGTTGCACACTGTACTCCGCGAAAGTCAATATGATCACCGCTACCTCCGCTGGTCGCAGTAGCATTACGTAAATCCAGGAACAAGTGAACGCTGGTATTTGACCAGCATAAGGATGTAATGGTCCGAAAGCTTCAATAAAGTATGCATATTCGGCACCGGAACGTGGTACCACGGTGCTTAGCTCGGCAAAAGCCAACGCACCTAACAGAGACAGCACGCCGCAGCTGATCCAAACGATTAGACAAAATCCCACAGATCCTGACCGCTCAAGTGCACTGGTGGGCGATACAAAAATGCCGGAACCTGGACAATAGAGGTAACGAGGTTGCAATTAATAGTAATTCAACAGTATTTGGCGGAGTTAACTATGACAGTTAGCTAATGCTTCGTGACGTGAACGACCGTTTAACCTTGATTAACCTTCACGATGTTTTTATAGTCGTATTATATAATTATTCCATCGATCGACATATATATACATACACAACAACATATTTGTTAATTACTCATTTATAGAGTATTTTGATCAACTTGCAGATTCTGTGTGACTAAAGTTCTTTATCGAAAATAATAAATTAATAAAAGCTTTGATGTTTGGTAATATATTGGAATAATAATCGGAATAAAAGATTCGACAAATATGCTGTTATTTATGCTATTTATATTATTTATACAGAATTATAAATTAAAGAATTTTACATTATTATATCAAGTTATATAATTTGATTATACATAAAAAAAACAATAATTAATCTTGTTCTTTTAGATTATAAATTTTTTGGAACTAAAAAAATAAAAAAAATTTCGATGAAAAAGATAATATTTGAAAGATTTAAAATGCTGTCTAACAATATAAGCTCTTAATTAATATATCGCATGAGAAGGGAAAAATTTATTCAGTAATATTTATCAAAGAATGTTATAATCTTATATTTCTCAGATTTTTTAGTAGCCGTATTTAAGACTACATGAGAAAATATTCTGGATACCATCAATCAAAAGAATAAAATACAAGAAATTCAATACATAAAGTACTATATCTATGGCTTCATATAGTTTTTATATACAATTACTATGAATTGCTTTTATATAATTATTTTGTAATATTTTTCACTATACTTTCGAGAATGCCATAATTTATGCTTCATTATTTTTTATTATATTATGCCGTTTTTAATGAAAACATTGAACGATAAATAACTTTGCGATTATACGTTATCTGCAAGTAATATATAACTCTCATGATATACATACATCTAGTTGACAATAACTAATGATTCTAAACAAAAATAAACTCTTAACAATAAAAATTTTATTTATTTTTTAAATTCACGATATTCTTCCACAAAATATTATACTATTTTAAATAAAGAAAAAAGTTGCAAAACAGATTAATTAAAGAAAATGCATACATATATTTATTCTGCAAAATTAAATTTTCCTTTAATTTTCAATATTAGATAATAACTGTTAATTTTTTTAGATTCTATTTTTTCTATTCTTGCTATTTTCCATTTTTCTATTTTATTGCTTACTATTAACATAAAATATTTTTTTATTGATTAAACAAATAATTTCTTAATTTTTCTATTGTATTAAAATTATAATTCTGATATAATGTTAGAAATTTCAATTTGATATTGAACATTTTTAAATCGCCTTTCAATCATATTACAATGAAAAAAAAATCAGATTGTGTTTGAAAAAGAAAAGAATAACACACACACACAGACACATACAAGACTTTTCTATTAATATATATAGTTGAAGGACATCTAAAGAAGTAAGCTTATAATATTGTAATAACATAAATTTTTGGAGCAATATCTATATCGTATAATTCTTGTCAACATCTGTTGACTTGCTTTGTGCATAGATATTGTTTAATTTAATGGTAACTGAATTTATATTCTCTCTGCAATTCTTTCTTTTTATTAAGCAAATGTGAATATATAAATACATATTAAAATTTGGTTTAACTTTCGATTAATTGTATCACTAAATGATACATACAAAAATAATTTCCGTGACTTGCAACAAGAGAGCGCGCATTCTTCGTGTGGGATCTTTTTATAGCACGATGCAACAGTAAATGATACTGCGGATTTGAGCTTGCCTTCTTTGTACCGCATTATTATTTATCGTTTAAATATGTGACTAGAAACAAAAAGATTGAGATCTGCGAATAACAAATTACAAAACATCTCATTTGTTTAATTGTCTGTCACGTACAGTTTAATTATACAGCTTGTTTCACAATCTCAATCATTCACGATATCACAGAATAACATGCTGCGATCAACGTGATCAAGGAATAAAAGGCGCGCGCGCACGTGTGTGACTGCGTTTAATTTGTTAAATCTAAAACGTACATGACAAAAATATAAAACAAATTTTAATGAAAATTGACTTGTACTTGCATTTATGTTATATATATTATAATCACAATTATAATTTAAATTATAAAATAACTTAAATATATGTAAAAAAATTAATTTTTTTCAGCCAATTAAATTTAATCAGCCATTATATCTCACCGATCATCACCGCCAGGATAATGCTAACTGCGCTGAAAAGTCCTAGCTCTCTCTTCAGCTCGATTTTTCCAACCATCTGGTCCTTTTCGTTTGCCATTTTTCCACGCATCTGTACAGACTGCAAGATGAACAATATTGTGGAAACTGTAGAGCGTTTTTTGTCGCGCTATAACAGTGATTTAAAATTCAAAGCACATCGCTCAGACTGCTGAGCTTGCTATTGTTAATCCGCGGTAGCAACAATAGTCTTTCTTCTTGAACTCTGGATGACAACCGCGAGCTCTTCGAGTTCGTCATCGGTGGTCCGCGTTCGATGGCAGCGAACTCGACCATGCGACTGAAGCTACTGGATGACGTGTGTTTATCGTTGCCAGAGCTCGAGACTGTAGTGTTAGTGGGTCAACTTGTCGTTTATTTTTTTACGAGCACACGCGCATTGCCTTGATAAGAAGATACTAATCCACATTATAAATGGTCACATATCTTTTTTAATCGAGAGCGATCGGCAGACTAAACGCAGAGAATAAGTCCTATACAGCCAGACATTAAATGTCGTGGTACAAAATTTGTTTCGGCTTTTAACACTTACATGAATAAATCGGATGACCTTCAAATGTTTGTTTGCCCAAATTTTGTCACGAACTCGGTCGCGTCTGGCTTGAGCTAATCGACAAATAACTAATTGTAAATCACCATCAAATGTCTATCGTGTACTGATACCGTTGCTACCAAATGATAAATAGATAAGATAATAGTGTTCAATTTCGCATTTTATTATCTCGAAGAAAAGAATCTCTTTTATATAAATATATGTATATCGCTCCATGGTGTATAATAGGTAATTACCATTTTTGATTTAAGACAATTATATATTACAAAGGTTGCATACATCGTTAATGATTCATGCATTATTAGTCAGATCACGCGATATATACAGCAAATATATAATGTATCAAAAGTTTTAAATATATTTCTATTTTTCTATTTTTCTTTTTAATTGTTATTTATTCGAAAGCTTGTCTGTGTGTCGGTTTAATGTAAAGTTATATGTCAAAATGAACACTGCTGTTCTTTTATTACTTTCAAGTTTGTCATATTCTGATTGGTTACAACAAACAGACACTATGATCATTTAGTTTACCATGTACTTTAAATTAACAGGTATTGTTTAACACTTTATTATATGTATGATTTTCTGTATCCGATTTTCACTGATATTTTTGTTTTTTTTAACTTAGATGTATAATTTAATTTTTGTAGCCTGAAGAGGACCCAATTCGGGGTCGAAACGTTGCGTCTTTTTTAATAAAAGATTTTTCACCTTAGTCAGTGTCGGTTAATCAATTCCTTTTTACCTTTAAATATATTTGTTTATTATATACTTAAAATTATTTTTTATATTTCGAAGAATTTCTTATATGTATTCTATCAATGAAAGTGCTCGTATTAAAAAGGATATTCAAATTATACACTGTTTTTTACTGATAACATGATTTGATCCACTCATAAATTTTAATATTGTTCAATTGTACTATTGTTTTATTATTGATTAACTATTGATGTTGATTGATTGCTGGACTATTGTTTTACTATTAATTGTAGCAATGTTTTCAAAAGATATTTATATATAATGAATCTGTAGCAACCTTGTATGTGAACATTAATTAATTTTCTCCTATTTTAATAATATGATTGATTTTAATAGTCATTTTTAAGGATTGATTATTCTTTTTGAGAGATCACAAAATTAAATCTTTATTTCCACTATTTTTTTATAATAAATTATTGTGTTGAAGTAAATAAAGGATAATATTAAATAAGTAGCGAGTAAAGGATATTCAAATATAAATATATAAACGAGATTGCTATTTTCTTAATCGACAATAATAATAACAAGTTATTTTAAAAATTAATAAACATACTTAATATATATTACTTATATGTATTTTTCAGAGAAAAAATATATATTAAATATTAAACTATTGTACAGAATTATTCGTACCATTGTGTTTTTAATTAGAATAAGTATTACAAATTAAAATAAAAAAATTAACAAATAAAATTGCAGATGAAATTGAGCGCAATAAATTAATACAGATGTAATATAAATTTTTTGCAGTTTTACACTTTTATTATAATTTTATTACAAAGTAAAAAATTTTGAAAATTTATAAAATCTAAATTATATAAATAATTATAAAGCGTGAAAAAATATTCAAAAAGCATTTGGATTTACAGACTTTATATTGATTAGTCGACAATTTCCGTAATAGGCTGATGCATGATTTGAAGAAAATTAAAAAAAAAATCATTGAGATTTAAAAAGACCACAGCTGTTTTGTAAGTCAGTTGTGTGCTATATATCCCATAATTCCATATCGCCTTGATGACGTATTTGGTTATGGTATTTTGGTTAGTCAAGGCAAGGCAACACATGGCACATGGTAACGTAGGGTTAGGTTAAGTCTTGTCTAAACATCAAAGCATAACGTTTGTGTTTGTACTAAAGAAGCGTGTAATTATATGATAAAGCACGTCTACAATATTATTATTTATTAAAAATTACAATTAATCGAAAATGAATGAAGAAGAAGTTAAATGCCCGGACGAAGAGGAGAGCGAATTTTTTTTCGAATCTGATCATTTGGCATTAAAGGGTAATAAAGATTACAGCGCTTTTCTAAAAACAATAGTTGTTCTCGAGGCTCAACGTATTCAAGCTATAAAAGATTTAGATGAACTTATGTCGGCGCGAACTAAAGCGATGAAGGATCCAATATCGTTTGTAGCACAGTTGCAAAATGGAGATCTCCCTGAGTTACCTAGTCCACAGAACATTGCTGACATTCCTTATGTTGATTGGTCACAATATAACATATCATTATCAGATACTCGTATAAGACCGCAAACTCGACATGGACATGTTATGCCACAGATGCAATTAAAAAATAAAGAAGAAAATGGAAAGGTATGTTGAATGAATACTATATATCTAGAAAAAAAATTTCTGAATAAAACAATTATTTTGTTTTATAGATTTTGGTGAGAGGTCGTGTTTTTGATGAAAGTAAACCTGAAACTTTTAATCAATTATGGACAAGAGAAGAACAAAGACGACTTGAGGAACTTTTAGTTGAATATCCACCAGAAGAAATAGAAATGAAACGTTGGACTAAGATAGCGAATGCATTAGGTTGTTAATTTATTATTATGTTAAAAAAGCGTTGCTTTGTAAAAATATATAAAGTCTTTTCTTTTGTAGGAAATCGAACACCTAAACAAGTGTCCAGTAGAGTTCAAAAGTATTTTTTAAAACTTTTAAAGGCAGGCTTGCCTGTACCAGGACGAGGTCCTAAGATAAAATTGGATATTAAAAAAAGTTTAACACACAAACATCAGCGTAACAATCACTTTTTATTTAGACGGTCAACATTCTTTCCGCATCAAGATATTTGCAGTACATCAGATGAAAATAAAGAATTTGCAGCAGAATTTGTAAGTATTATTATGCATATTATTATCTTATATGTATGTGTTGTGTTTCTAGAAAATTGTTTCATCAATATTATTTGTTCAGGAGGATGATACATTAAATAAAAGAATTGATGATACTCCTGAAACAAGGCAACTAGTTTTATTGCGCCAAGTGAAAGCTGAAAAGGAGCAAGATTCTTCATCTTTGTACAAACATGTTGGATATAAAGTATGTATTGTTCTTTATATATTTAGCTATTATATGTGTAACATTTTTGTTTACCAACAATATTTTTCTTATAGTGTACAATATGTGGTGAAGAACCTTTAAAGGGTACAAGATGGCATTGTACAGAATGTCACAGTGGAATTGATCTATGTGGTGATTGTGCAGTAACACAATTCGAAGTCGAAAATCCTACACACGATCCATCTCATAGATTGGTTCCCATAAAACCACCACAATATACTAAAAGTTATGATTTAGATTATTTTCCACAAAATTTTAGTAATTCTTCCTACAATTATCTCGATCCAAATTTTCTACCTGAATAACATCTTATTTCAAATAAATACAAGAAATATACTTCATAAAATAAAAAATTTATTAAAATATTTATACAGTAGTAGGAAATTTAGAATTAGGATTCGTATTTCAAACGAATTTTCTTCTGAAGTTCATTAAATGTTCCACTTTTAATACTGTCACGAATAACAGTGAAAAATTGAAGATAATGATGAATATTGTGTCTGAAAATAATAAAGTTATTGTTAGATTTTATATGATATAAAACAAACCAGATTTCTGCATTGATATACAGATTAATTATAATTTATAAATACATACATCATTAAAAGTACTAATCCAAGCATTTCCTTTGTGTGATGCAAATGATGGAGATATGCTCGTGTGTGATTTTGACATGCAAGACACTCACATTTTTTACAAATAGGAGCAAAGTCATCTTTATATCTGAAAATAAAAATATATATATAAAAATCCATGATAATTTCTGAATAAAACAAATTATAATATAAATATAATATAAAAATATGTTATATATTTTATTCTTTTTACCTTGTTTCTGCTACTGATATTTTATGTTGATTATTCTCGCAAATGTCATGATTGCACATGAAAGTCAAAGCTTGTGATTGTTCAGTAGCTATATAAGGATAGGACGAGTCAAATACATCCACTCCTAATTCAATAAGATCAAGTACAGTAACTGGATTCCAACAACCCATTGATACTCTTATTTTATCAGTAGGTAATAAATTCTATAAAAGAATTATAGCATTTAGTTATTGAAATACTTCAAATATATATAAATTACACAAATTTTAAAAACAAATTGATATTTACAATGGTATGCTGTACTACTTGTTTAATTTGTTCTGTTGTAATATTTTGTACACTTGGACCATTGTTATGTAATCCATCTATAACAAATCCTGCCAAAGGTTTATCTTTTAAATAATCTATAGAGTCCTCTCTGGCTTCTAAATTATAACCACCTTCCACTGGTCCTAATATTCCCTTAGATTTTAATGTATCTGAGTGCAGATGTATATCTAAACATTGTTCTAATAAAGTTTTGCTTCGCAGAACTGCCTTCGATACTCGTTTTGCACTGCTATTAATATTTGTATCTCCATCACATAGGGCAACATAGAGATCTGGTTTATAAGCTTGTACAAGTTCCATATATTTAGCAGCAGTAAAAACAGTTCTTCCTGTTCTGGACCAAATAGAAATAGAATCTAATTGCTGAAAACCAGGATTGGTGGTATATGCAGGATCTTGTATTGATAAAAAATTTATATATTCCTAAAACAAAATCATTTAAGTAGAAGTTTGAATTTTAGTACATATTGATATATTGATTAATTTTTGATTACATACCTTCATGCTTACAAAATCAGCGAAAGAAGTGTTAAACTCTTTAATAACATCCGTCATTGATATAGTAGAAGGAAGTGAGACAGAGAGTAGTAGTTGTTCCAACGTTACCATTTTAAATACATCTTTTGTTAAATGTGGTACACTGCCACCCTAAACATTGTTTTAATATTAAAAAAAATAATATAAATATAGAAAATTATATATTTCATACCTTTGTATAAATAAGAAGTAGAGGTGTTTCAAAAGAAACATTAGGCATTCTTTCAAATCCACTCAGAGTACCAATTCGTGCAGCACAACGTGCTACAGAATCAGTAAAAAATTTCATTGTTCTAATTTATTTTACTAATTAATTTTTCTCAATACATAAGAGCTGATAAAACATGTGTGTAATATAACCATATTTCTTAAAGATTTTATTGTGGCATATTTACCAATTAATTCAACATACATAATACACACACACGCATACACAATACACGTGTTTAATATATTTTTATTTACAAAATAATAATTATTTGAAAAGATAGATTGCCTCGTGCAAGCTAACTTTACTTGCTGACACGATGGTTCTAACCTCAAACTAATATAATATAGCCTCAAAATAATTCTTAAATTTTACAATGCAAACTAAAGCCATATGATAATAATTTAAAATTTATAATAAAGAATTTATATTTAAAAAAAAAATGAATAAAATGGGTAGACAAAAGCGAATTTTCTCAATGATATGATAAATTGTCAATTAAATAAATTAAAATATCTAGTTTTTGCTAAATAATAATCATAAAATTTTGCATATTGAATAAATAATTAATTTATTATTATAATTATTATATTATTTTTGAAATATTTTAGTATAAGAATATAAATTTAGCATGTATATATTGAAAATATAAATAATATTAATTTTCGCGCTACAAATGCTTCGTTGAATTGACCAATCAGATAATTGGGCGCTTTATTCAGGTTGGTCAAAGATTACGCGCGCATTCAGATAACTTCGTCTCCCTCTTTCTCGCCAGGTCGCTGCATCGGAAAGAAGTAGGGATGGCGGGCTCTGATAATATCCGTACAGGTAAGCTAGCAAAGAGGCAATCGAATCCAATAAACGTAATTACTTGCAATAGAATCATTTTCTGAATAATATACGAAAGTATTTAGTAATTTTAAGATAAAAATTAAGTGAATTTTTTCCGATTAGATAATCGCGAAGGGTGGATTTTTTAATCTATCAATTTTCCGAATATTTATATATTTAGAAACAAATTGACACATTTAAACATTCATTAATTATACTTTATTATTGTATTTCAACATTTTGATCAGAAATCGATTGTGCAACCTTTTGTTCTGATTAAATAAAAATCGTAATATAATATTTTTATTTATTATCACATATACACGGAAACATGGAATTCACATGTGTGTGTACGACAATGACGATAGCGCCCGCCAGTGGCAGCTACGCGTATTAAAATGAGCATCTTTGCAATGTGTAGTATAGATTTGAAATATAGTACCTACATCGCGAGTGTATATGTACAAATCGGGAATAAATACAAAAGATTCGGATTAAAAACAAATTTTGCAAGATTAATATAAATAAAATTGCGATTGCACGACATGTTAAAATAATGAATGGTAGGTGCATTTATTGTATATTTATTTAAAGTAATAATTGTTTTGATGTGTTTAATTGCCCAACTAGAAAAAAAAGTTTTTTATTCTTTTTATTCTAATTGACCAATCAAACGGTTTAAAGCATTATTAACTTATTTAAATGGAATATAACATTCATTATATCTGTTGTTTTTTTCGTGCGATTGCAATCTAAACTGATGTGATTTTGTATTAATTTAATAAAATGTAATAAAATTCATAAGATGATTAAAACTAGATTTGCGCGTGTTACTTTATTAAAATAAAGGATTTATTTGATTTCTTAATATAAATATGATATATATTTGATTGATATATATTTTTGTTAATTTTAAAATTTTACATATGATTGTGTTCTGATTTTTATATTGTAACTTATTATAATAAGTATTATAATATATATATTATTTTTTTTACAGAGGTTGGTTGATATTTGGACATTTAATAGTTATCGCAGAAATTCGACAAATTTTCTATGGCAAGTGATTGATATAAATATTTATTCTATATTATCTTCAATTGCAAATATCTACAATGATTTATTCAAAGATTAATTATATAGCTGTATAACATTTATAGAAATATTTTTAAATAGAAAAATATAGAGACACTTTATATTTTCTTTAAAAAACGCAAAATAATTTAATGAACGATTTTAAAATACATATATTACAATATCTTTCTTGTCAAAGTGTGAATAAATTAATATTGAAATGTATTTTATTTTTGATAATCATATTTTGCGAATTAAGTTGATTAAATCAACGTACAAATTAATTATTATAATAAATATTTATTCTATTATCTTCTATTGCAAATATTTACAATGGTTTATTCAGAGATTAATTATAGCTGTAAAATATTTATATAAATATTTTTTTAAAATAGAAAAGATATAAAATAGAAAGCTATAGAGAAATTTTATATATTTTTTAAAAACGCAAAATCATTTAATATAAATTAGTAAGAGATTTTAAAATATTGTTAAAATATCTTGAGATAAGATTACTCTAATATATGTATATGTATTTTATTTGTTATCACAGGTTCTCGCAGTAAAACTCGCGCGCAATTTATTAACAATATCTGTACCGAAAGGATCGTTTCTTCGTGTTTTCAATTATAATTTTTTCATTGTGCAATGTACGCAAAATACGCGTGCGAATCACGCGTCGCGTCGGGAGTGCCGTGTAAAGTTTCGCGCGTCGGGAGTGCCGTGTTTTTCGCGTGTCGAGAGTGCCGTGTAAAGTGTCGGACAATTGTAATTATTCGTGTTTTCGTGAGTGTCGTGAGTGCTACAAAGGACCAAGAGAGGAGGAGGAGGCCCGGGGAGGCATCGGGCGATAGGAGGATAACTGTGAGGTATGCAAATACAAAAATTTTTTTCTATATTGCATTGTTTGAAATATTTGAACGTTTTTAGACTTTCAACACATCCTACGTATATATACATATATACACCCTAAAATACATGTATATTATGTATAAATAATTTGAATATTTTGTTTTCAGATCAATGTGCTGTGTACTACATACAACTCCGTTATTGCACGCATCGGTGAGTGAGAAATTATTTTGTAATATTTTTATAGCGGTAATAAGAGTGTATGAAACGGGCGTCTCATTTCGTGAAAATTCATAAATAATTAAGAATTCTGGTTTTTTTCAATCAGTTCTAGGGTTTTTAAAATTGTTCGGTCATTAAAGTAACGAAAATGTCTTGAGACAAACTGAGTGAGATACCGTCTTACTTTGTCTTACTTTCTATATCAATAATTATCAGGATTTAAAAAATGTATAATTCTACATAAGTTCTAAAAAGAGTTCTGCTTAAAAGTAAAAAAATATTATAAATTAAATTAATAACAACCGGATACTTACATCTATAGATATTGAAATGAGACGCCAATCGACGCAGATCGATTTACAAGAGTTCTGCTTATTTTGGAGTAGTTCTTGTATAATCCTGGATCTTTCCGTATAATTCTGGATCTTTAATAATTAAAATAATTTAAAAATTGTTTAAAAATTATTTTGTCTGCATATTTTTGAGTCTAAATGTAAGACACCAGTGGATTTTCGACAGTTCGCTTTTTTTAAAGCAAATATCTAATTATCAATAAACTTGATACATAATTTGTAATTAAACAATATCTAATTTAATATAGCAGTTATATGTATAATCAACGAAAAATATGTATAATATACATATTTATATTAAATTTTAAATATTAATTTATTCTTTTGGAAGATGTTTTTTTTAACATTTTCCATATATATATATTTCATATATTTTTATCATTTTTCATATATCTTGTTTATTTAAATATATGTATATATATATTTCTTATTTAAAAATAAATAAATAAAATGTCCATTCGACGTGTTATTCGACCAACAAATAAATACTGTAACATATCTTCTGTTTGAAAAATATGTTTATAGATTTTTTCAAAAAATTTTTTAAAAAGATAAATGCGTGTATATGCGGTAATATTTTACACGTGTTACATTGCAATCATAATGTACGAATTTAAATGCACAATATCGTTTATACATATGTAACATTATATATATAATATAGCAGAATATAAGTATCTAAAAGTACAATATATATATACATATAGAAATGATATTTTTTGTTTATTATATAATACATATAACTAGTATGAAGTGGATATTGTCAATTACGACTTGTAAAAATATTGTTGATAAGTAGATTTTTTTAAAAGTGTGAAATATAAAAGTAAGACATATTATTTAAATAATTTAATCCGATGGAGACATTTGTCACGTAATGCGTGAATTCCTATCTACGTGCGTATGCGTATTCGCAAGCCGGGTTCAAGAGGCTAGGAGGATTTAACAAAGGGAGGGAAAGGTGCGGGAATCGCCAACACATATCTTGATATCTCGCAGTTCGATCTCTCGAGCTGACCGCCCGTATATTTACATGTATAATTTATATATCCCGTAGTCTGGACGAACACGCGGTGCGTTCGGCTAGGGCGGGCCGAAAGCCCTTACGATTATTCTAAAATGTCCGTCGAATTCTGCACAAGCCGTCGTGATAAAAGAAAGCATTATAAAGGGAAGTCTTCGGCTCAAGAGAAATTCGCGAGAATTTAATCGCGTAAATTCTCACGATCAGCGATATCGATCGATAGTCAAGAATCTTTAAAATTGCAAATTTTTGGAACACGCAACACGCAAATTAAACGACAAACTGAGTTAAGTCGGTTATTCAAGACAGATGTAATTATTTGCACACTGTATTTAGCTTTTGCATTAGATACAATATAATTTGATTTTTATTTTTGATACCACTTTGATAGTTAAAACAAAGGCTTTTAACTTTTAATTACGTAAAGCAATAATAAAGAAATTAATTATTTTTAAAATTCTTTTTCTTTAATTTGTTATGTTGTATGTTTTTTACTCCACTGATTAGTTATTAAGATAAAAAAATTCGTTTGTATCTGTAGTGTTATAAAATAGTAGATATAGCAAAATTCTGGAAATAATTTTAAAAAATTATTTTATAATTTACAACATTTAAAATATTTTTGTTGTTTACATGATTTAAAGTCCGAATTTTAGATAATTCTCCCATGTGTAAAATTTGACAAAACTTCATTACGAGAGTTATGCAAAGACATGCGTATAAACTAATGAGGTCTGCAAACCTCGCATTAAGGCATCTATTTCATCACAATAAAGTATAACGTTGTTATGAGATTTTCCATGAATAATGACATGATCGAGCTAATCTACCTAGACGCAAATTACAGATGCAATGTAACGTCCTTTCAGATTATAACTTCAATTTATCCATAGACATACGAGCCAGCTAGGGTATCGGTACGCGATGCAAATGCGGAAGGAAAGGAAAATGAACGAACTTTAATTAAATGATTTTTTCTTTTATAATACACGTTTCCATTCGCGTAACACGACCGTGATAAGGGCTATACCCATCCTGCCGCGATGGCTTGGCGCGGTCGTGGGATTTTTTTCGGCGCATCAGAAGAGCGCCGAGCAGTTCTCTCTTACCGCCATTGTGGCCGTGAGGGCGCAATTAATTATAGCATATCCGCAGAGAGAAAGAGAGAGAGAGAGTGCACTTTTGTGTTTGTGTTGTTTGTATGCACGCGCCGTACGTATTGTGTATAGCTCGCGGCTATGCGTCTTGGTGCATTTTTGATCGTTCTGAAAATTGCCGTCATTTTTAATTTATTTTTTATTACAAAAGTGATATATTTCGTATTGTTTTAATTTATAGTATATTAGAATATAGAAATATATAGTATATTATTGAATTAAGATACATTCTTAATAGATAATAAAGAATCCAGGAATTTTCTGAAACATTCGAAAAGTATTAAAGAACGTTTAAAAGAATATGCTATTTGTATAAAAGTAACAAAAAGTAACAAAAATATATGAATAAAGCAATTGTTTCTTTTTCAAATAAATATAAGCTCTACAATTATATAATTCTTTTGATAATAGATACTTTTTAAAATAAAAATTGTAATCATATCCAGTAATGTAATAGACGTTCTTCCATTCGCATTTTTTTCAGCAATTTCTTAAGCGTGTATCAAGTAAAAATTCAAATAATCAAGTTCTAAAGTTATTTTCATACATATATGTATGTAAGGAAATGTGTGCGTTTAGGTGAGCATTCTCGTGTATCCCTCGAAGATTGTGTTGGTCGGATGTAGATGTGCGTGCGTGAGCGCGCAGGTGAGTTAAAGGTGAAAGACGTGAAACGCGCACGCGGGAGAATCCCGAGGCGAAACGAAAGAACGCGTTTTCTCGGATTCATGTCTCGGCGAGGGAACAATTAAACGATTCCTCGCCGACTCGAGCGAGACGAATTAATTCCGTCGATCGGAAATCGAAGATAAACGATTGCCACTGATACACCACCAAGATCGAAACCTTTAATGTCCGAGTGATAATCATTCGCGTGATAATCTTTATGAATTCGATTCAACAATTATTTCGCATACGCGACTACTCAGATTCAATTTGAAAAATATTTCCCACAATTTATTACTACATATATTATACGTCGAGGTCGAAAAGATAATTTGTAATTATAAGCATCAAATTTTCATAATAGTTTGTAATATGTCTTTTCCGTACTTTACTGAAAGAGAAGCAGTTTTGTTATTGTGAATATAATTGAACACAAAATTCGAAGAATATCAGACAACGAAGTCAACATTATTGTGAAGAAGATTCTAGACTTAGCACGCGATCTTTTGGCCACTAACAATACCATTTGAAATTGGCGAATTATGCGCTATTTTTTATAATTTTTCGTGCAAAGAATAAGAAATGAAAAAAATATATAATAAAATGTCGGCAAAAAGATGTTTCGTGCGGGAGTATATCATATTTGTATACTTTGTTGGTCCGTCGATTATGCGGCACGGAATTCTGCAATTTTCCGTAATCGAGGCACGCACGTGAAAACGAGACCTCATTTGCGCGGTAAATATGGAAGGATGTTGCAGAATATCGCGCGGCCGCTTAGAGAAGGCGGATGTAGCCGAGGGCGCTGACTGGCAGCCCCGAACGTCAAATTACAAAACACCTGCTCTTCAAAACGACTTTATTTCACTTGTATCGTACATTTTGATTTCATCGTGATTCTTCTTTTGGATATCATCCATAATCTTTTTTTCTCTCGTCTTGAGAATTCCATACTATAATATCCGAGATCGATTCTCTAATGCGATAGAATCTCGTAGCTTCGTATGATTTTGAAGTCGACTTTATAGAACAAAGAATATTGAGATTATTTGAAAATTAAGATAAGATATATATGACAATTAAGACGAGACTAAAATATGTATATAACAAACTGCTTCTCATTTATCATTATTTATTAGAAAGATTCCCTTTTTTGATTTGAGTTTATTTTAAAATGTCAAGAAATTATTGCTTATCACGATTTCTCAAATTTCTTTATTTCTAATTATTATTTTTATTTCTTGTACATATTTTATGACAATTTAATGCAAAATTATCTCTCCTAGATGCAATCTTATTTCATTAAAAGAATAATTGAAACAAGACAGTATTCTATCTGTCGCCATCGACCATCCACGTAATATAGTAATATAGGTCTGAAATTTTTCCTTCCCCTCTTTAAATAATACTATAACAGTGTCAAAAATAATGGAGGTCCATTTTTTGCCAGATATCAGTTGACTTTCACAAAAACATCTTAACGGTATCAATTTATATCTGACATGTTATTGCTGATTGGAAACCGCAACGCGTGATTCTTGGCGTGCGGTATCATTACGCGTTTTTTACATCACGTGTATCGAGTGAAAACGCGTCACGCCTGAGTCAGCATCAGTTACTCGAAATATTCACGTGCAGCTACGATGCATCGAACATAAATTTATCACTATTCTAACAAGCGCAATCTCGTGGCTAATGGCTAACGGTGAACATTTTTTTGTCAAAACGGCAGATTTTGTCGACGTCGCGAGGGTATATAGCGCTTAATCGTGTATTAATTCTGCTGGAACGATTTGCTCTGGTCACTTACCTGCCAACCGGTTTATCTTTCGCTTGTCTTTCGCTTAAAAAAAAGTTTCGGGACATTGAATACCTAGTATTTTATCAGTGCGCAAAAGCAGAGGAGAACGCGCTGCGCTGCCGATCAATTCGCGACGCTTGATTCATCGATTCGCGTATCGATTGTCTTAACAGGACCGCAAAGTGTGGCGACAAAGGAGCAAATGGAACGTTGCCGAGTAAGAAATTGATTTTATCCGGAACCGGTCCCCGATACATCCGTCGGTTAAACCACGCTCTTAGCCGATTTTTTAAATTCTTCTTCTATACGAACAAAGCTTAAAACTGAGCACCGTGAAACATTGTCTCGAAGAAATTTTCGAGTCACGACGATAGTGACAAAAAATTTCACTCTTTTTATCTCTTGTATAATCCGCTCGTTTTATTTCTATTTTTTTTTAGTACAAGAATACAACTTCTCCTATTATCCTCGTTGTGTGAATAAAGTTAAATTATAAATACTATGCAAAAAGGTTCTTCTCTCACACGCAGAACGAACGTACATCAATGAAATTGTCTATTTGACACTGAAACTTTTTTGTTTCGAAAGGAATAACTGTCTTAAATATAATCCGAAGGCACTGTGTTCTCGTTGATCGCCGCGAGTCTATATTGCGGCGCATCCAGGTTCTGGTGTAGGTTCGTCGTCGTCGTCGTCGTCGTCGTCGTGGACGACACTGCTGTGGTCGGCATCTGTTGATTTACCGAGTTTGAGCTGAGATCGCTGTAGTAGGCACTGCTGGGAGCGCTGCTCAGCGTCGGTCCGTCCGGTTCAGCGTCGCTTCCGGTATACGCCGTGTTTTGATACGAGGGATGCTCGCTGTTTCTGCTACCGATCCTCAACTCCTGATGATGGTGATGATGGTTGTGATGATGGTGATGATGATGATGGTGCTGACCCGGCGATACAGGCGTCGACGGTCCGTTCTCGTACATCTCATAGTCCGGCTCTTGTATCCTGGAAGTAGCCGATAACGAGCCTCTCAATAACCGGTCATTCGCCCGGAATGTGCTATTAACATATGCATCGACCGTATCGATAACTGCCGATTACGCGACGACACGTGTTGGATGCGTGCGTTGTTATAACGCGTAATTAGCTATCTTTAGAAGGCGTTGCCAGAACATTGAGTTCATTATCGATCTAGGAAGTCCAGAGACAATAGATTATTGTTGCGTATCATTATCGACATCGTTATTTTTACGGTCGTTGCAAGTTTGATGTTTGATTTAAGAATAATTAATAAGTAGCAAAATATTTCAACGTCTTCCCAACAGCAGTTTGATTTTATATGCACAGCGATCATTATCAAATTAATAGAGCGATTAATTCTAGCAAATAATTCTGGAGCAATAAAATATATGATGATTTTAGCTCTAGTCTCAATATATAATAACATCTCTAATACTTTATTTGATTTTAACTCTTGAGAGAAGACTAGTTTTTATAAAATTGAATCAAATTTTGACTTACCTTTTACTGTGCCGAGTGCGAAGTGTATCGGTTTGTAACGATCCGTCGCTGCCACCATAATGACGATGTAATCTAGCCGCGTCTAGTTCGTGATATTCGTCATCGTGGCCACCGGAAGTCGTACCGTACGTTGAGCTTCCTCTCATTTGTAACTGTAGATCGCTTGCGTAGCTCGCGGCTTGCGAGTCCAGTTCCGCGTATAGAGCCTCGTCGGTCTGCATGTGGGTGTAGTGATTCTCGACCGGGAGATTCATCGCCCGTCGATGCTGAGGAAGGGAGAGCGGGGTTGTGACGATTCCCGGGGTACCACCGCCTCGTCGAGAACCCAACCACGACCACACGTTGTGCCCTAAAGTTCGATTTCATCAACAACTTCTGATCCATGCTGATTGGGGCATTTTTTTTACATTACAATGAGATAACATACGACTAATGAAAGAAATAATGTTGAAGGTAGATAAAAAAAAGAGACTGTAGTCCTACCTTTATTTTGTTTCATTAATTAATTGAATTAACTTTTTAAATTATTCGTACTCTATATTCATAAATTCAATTTTTATTTCCGTCGAAAGTGTTTCAATTAATTATAACTACATATATTAGAAATATATATCCGAGTTACTTCTACTTTCATTTTCTTCCAATAATTTTTCAAAGCTGTCCATGTGTACATACGATATTCCGTTTAGTACTATCTTATCGCAAGATTATACAAGCTGTTTCGTAACACCGAGAAAGATCTTGCAGAGCTATCGACTAGTTGGAAACGCCTCTAAGAACAAGTTGCGAGATCCGGTTCTGTATATAAGCGCTCGATTTTCTTCAGCGAACGAAATGAGACGTACAGTCAGCGAGGGACATGCTACCGCGTTCGCGATCACAACAACACGTTGTAATGTGTTAGGAACACGCGAGTAACGAGCAATCATTTCTCAGTGATCTCTTCGACGGTGCGTATACGCATATTATGCATAAGAAATGAGCGTCGGGACAAGCGGGACATACATGTATATGTATAATACTTACCGGGACTGGGCGCTACGTCGTGATAAGGCGGTAATTTATCTAATTCGAGAGGTGGACGATCGGGTATGACAGCCACCCCACCGCCGGTACCACCCGATCCTGCGGGTCCGACATCGGGTACGCTTGCATCTTCCACGCCGACGCCGCAACAGTTCGCTGGAATAAAAAGCGAAGAGGGGCTGTCACACACGTATGCGATTCGTTGTTCCGGAAAAATTCGTTGACACGTCGAAACGAAAGTCGACGCTCGGATTTCGTTAACTCGCGTCTCTTTTAGAAGAGGCATCAGCGTGATCCTATATGGCTAGCGGGATTCGCTTGAATTTATATACGGGGATGTATCTCGTGTCGAAGCATATGAAGTGCCAGGTGAGCTCCGAATCCCGATACGTTTACGGTCGCGTATATTATATTATATACATCCTTACGTAGATATAAATACTGCCCCCGTGTATATATGGACGGCGACCCGGATCACCGCATTATGACATGCGTCCGCGTATGAAAAAAAACCGGCTGTTTTCTGTATAGACTTCATTGTGAGCCTGTCATCGCACCGTCACACGGGTTTTCATAGAATCGCGTCGAGGGTTAAAGCATATGAACGAGGGTGAGGCGGATGATGGCATATATAGGGGAGAGAGAGGAAAAAGAAGACGAGGGGCGGAGAATGGAAGAGGAACGGAATAAGATCTCGGAATTTACAGATCAGAAGCACCGCCGCGACGATAAGTAGGCTCATGAGAATGCCGCGGAAGAAAAAAGAGAGATTATGGGAATTTCGTGAGCTCTCACTTATTCCATTCTCGCCACGAAGGCGTTCTCATATCTTACGCACGTCCGCGTGTCTCCTTCGTTCTGTCGGGTTCGAAGAGCTCATATGTTCTGAAAAGTGCGCCCCTATCATTTGCCGAGAAACAGAGAAACTGGTTCTCGTTCATTGCATTGCTCTGTTGCGATAGATTTTGATGCATTTAAACTGTTCGTCGCGAGGTGGGATATTATTTTATTTATGCTTGTTTGCAAAGACGTTGCGATCGCGATATTATATACATTTATGATGAAAATAGTTGATTCAAAATCGTTGATTATTTGGTCCAAGTTTGTTTTCACTTTTTACATTTTTTGACATTTTTTTCAATGTTTAAGATTTCAGAGAGGTATTATATTTTTTCGAAATAAGAATATCCATAAAATAAAATCTTTCGTCTTTCATCAAAAACTTTTCCAACCGTTATTATATTAACATAAAAAAATTATAAAATTATCTGTCTTCAATCTGCAGAAACACACTCAAGTACAGTAATACTTTAAATTTCTACTGCAGGATTACGACATACATTTGCACGATCACATTTTGAATTAAAGTAATCGGTTCCGTTTCTTTTTCCAAGCCGTCGCGTCATGTCACCTGCAGTGTACGATCTTGGTCGAATTATCCGAATAGATAGGCGGAATATTAATTAGACGACACGTGAAAACCGTGGCGTTAAGGAACATGTCGTGACGGCGGGGGGCAAATGTTACGCTCTTTCGTCACGATCAGATAGCTTAAAGGCGTAGAATTCACTTCCTGCCCTCTAGTCTTCTTATGCCACGCGTAAGATCTCACACGATAAGAATTTAATATAATTTATTACGATTAAACTTATCTGGAATTTTAATCATTGTAGATATGTTTATAATTTTTTCATTATTTAAACACGACATTATGTATTAAACATGTTATGTTAATAATGATTGAATTTATTACGTTTATTTATTATTTTGTAACATACTTTTTTAGAGAATTTTGAGAATTTTTCTCTTTGAATACATTTAACAGTTTAATAATTTAAATTTTCTCGTCTAATTAATCATGTATGATTGTCGTGCATTATTTTTCTAATCATCTAATTTGACGAGTTTGTTGTAATTGATTTAAGATTCTAACGCATACGACAAACGAATTTGTATTTAATTGTGCAATAGGTATAAAAATGTACGTGTCAAATGCATGCTGCTGCAAGCAGGTTTCTTGACATTATATATCAAGATTGGTCTGAAAGTCGTTTCAGTTGATGCACGATGAGCCGTTTAACAAATTCGATTCACCTTTTCTATTCGACTCTCCGGTCGTCATTGTATTCGCAGGATCGCATCGCAATCTAACGTATATGGTATACCTCTGTTCTTTTTTGCGCGAAAGCAGTCTCTTTCAACCGTCCATTAACGCGCTGCTCGCCCTGTGGCGCTTAAAGCAATCCTTACGCGCATGGGAGGATGTACTATATTAACAAATTTTCATTAATTTATTTTTTGCCCGACGGGATATTCAATTACGTGTAATCTTATAAAATATCGGTGTAATGAACGTACATGTTTCATAAGCTCTTTAGATGAACTTTTAATTAGGATCTTTATATTGGTTCAAGAATTAACAAGTTTTACAATGTTAAGATTATATGCGAAATGTGAGATACTATCAAAATTGAAAACTCCTGAATGCATTTTACGGTGCACTTTAACTCACAGTTTATAATTTGATCTGTTGATAGAAACTTTATGAAAAGTGTGAAATCTCGATAAGAAAATATTAACCGGTCTTTATTATAAGATATATAGTATGTAAAAGATATATACGATTGGTATATTAAATGTAAGATAAATTTTGAAAAATTCTTTTTCTGAATAAGATATATTTTGCCATATAATTTCCAATTTATTACTGCCAAAAAGAAGCAAATTTTATATAAAAATATGATAACACTTTATTTCAAGATAAAAATCCATTTTGTCATTGAAAAAGTTTCTTCTATGTATTATTATGTGATTAACGATTGCCATTGTTTCAAACGGTAGCAATAAATCATCGCGTCTTAACGTGTAATTGTATCTTGGTCGTTTCGTGCCTCTCTTAGCAGTTATCCGCTCTAAAACCGGATTAGAGCTCGCCCCTGAGGCGAGAACGACGAAATTGCGCGCTCTTGCCGGCCGCAAATACAAATTACATCACGGACCACCTTGGACGATTACCTTGATGCAAGATGAAAATTAGCAATATTATCATTAACGAAAGGTCTTATGCAGGTTTATTTAAGACTAATTTGCAAAATTTGTATACCTTTTTGCTTTTTTCTAAACGCAAATAATGCATTTACGAGATACAAGAAATTACAATATTATAAATAATAATAATGCAAAAGATTAATTAATTCTTTTAATTTTCTTTTATCTCTAAAATTTTTTGAAAGTTTAAGTACATTTTTAATATGCTCCATATTATTTCACTTCAGTTCCAAACTAATGTTTTTTTTATTTAATGGAGTGATAATTTTAGATTTAGATTCGTTAAGAATTTAAGCAAAAATTACACCGCGAGAACTTACGGTGGTTGTGGTTCAAGAGGTTCAATGAAACGAGTGTCGGATAATTAATTCGGGTGACCCCTGCATCCCAAGCGGTAGCACCCTGACAACTCCTTCCTTTCCGCTCGCTCATCGTCTTTTTACGTCTTGCCGACTCGCCGCTGTTCGCTCGTCGATCGTATCGTGCCGTGGGTGATTTTAAATCAGAAAGTTAATTAGACGTGTTTCGCTGTCTTTTATGTCGCCCGGCTACGTTCGTCCGTCGCGTCGCGTCACCCGACTATCCCTTAAACGTAGGAGAACGAACAACACACTGATGTGCGGTTATACCGCCGTGAAACGACTTGCATTATGCGAACTAATTAAACTCCAATCGATGCTGACACCCGACGCCACGATAGTGTTGCTCTCCTTCTCCTTCGCGTCGACATGCACACGCGCGCATTCGTATAGGAGGTTCCTGGGACACGCTTTTCGTTCAAGTCCCCTTAATGTCTGAAGCTGAGACAAACGTCGAGACTGCGATGATATCGTAAGTCAACTCTGAATCGTGTCTCGAGATGAGAAAGTTATCCCCTTTATCTTAATAAGAGACACGGTTCTTTAAAAGTGTGTCTTATGTTCTTAAAAGGTCACATCGATCTGACTGTTACAATATTTTTTTACAAGAACTATACCGTAGAAAACGAACATTAACGTTTAGTTTTAGAGATTATGATGAAAGATTATTTTCTAATTTTTGTACGTTCTGGCACCGTTTAATGTTTATTGTATATATCGTAATGAGAATATTATAAAGACAATTCAAAAAACACATGATATCGCAAAATATATGTTATATCATACATTTTGAAAATTAAATTAATAATAATCACCAATTATATTAGCGTAACGTAAAATTTTTTAAAAACAATCCCGATTTATATTTTTTTACGATTTGAAGTTTATGACATGACAAAGCGAGGAGCATTGTTGAAAGTACCTTTTATAGGGTTTGTCATAAAAGGTATCTGAGAGGGCATTATTGTGAATGTGAACGTCATATATTAACGTATGATGAAGAAACGAGCGAATAAAAGGGCTCTGCGAGCTGGTAACTCAGTAGGGAACTCGGATAATTGGGAATCGTTTCGAGAATTTGACCTGTCAGCATCGCCACAAACCCGCTGCGCCGAACATGCTATGTTAATTCGACATAATTGAAAAGCTAGTTCACGTTTCGATAGTAAATCTAGACTTCTTTTCACCCGATGAATCTAATCGTAATTTTACGCTAATTTTTTTGAGTAATTTTTGTAGATTGATCTAAGTTTGCATAACAATGAAAATTTGTCTTAATATAACGTTTGCGAGAAATATACATGATGAAATTTTACTTACCTCTGCCACCGGCACTTTTTATCCTATAACAGATAAAAAATATTGATGTATTATATGTATATATGTGCATGAGAAAAAAACTATTGCATTATTTTATAAATATAATATAATAATACAATAATTGTTTTCTTTTAAGAGTTTATTATTTTAAAATTACACGAGCACATTGATAAGAGTTGAACATAAATCAATAATGATTACTATCAAATCGAATAATCAACTTATTAGAGATATGTGCCCTCTAATCATTCTAAATGATCGCAATTTTTTTGTAGAAATTATAAGTGAAGAAATATGTAGAGAGATTGGCAATCAAGTTTAATAAATCATCTTTCACGAGACGAACATCCTTCAGGGAGAAGGATGAGAAAGATCGCGATCACGAAAATTCTCGTTTCCTGCCTACCCAGGAATTTTAATTAAGATCCTGCAGTCGTATAATTCTTTGGTAATGTGCATGTGTATCATTTCCTTGCTCTTCTGTTCTTTCTATATTCGGTTAGCTTACCATTTGGATTTCGTACCGAATCGATCTAGTTAGCGACCGTTTTATTCGTCGGTTTTTATTCGATTTTATTCGATCGGTTCGTTCGATTATTACCAGAGTGAGTAATAATTCAAGAAAATCGACTAAACGACTGCAAGATGAAAACCGCAATCGATTCGCGAATCTATTGGTGTAGTGATCCGTATCAAACTGCTTTACCGTTTCAATCGTGAGACGTTTGAAGAAACATTTTCGCTGAGATTGAAATGTATGGCGTTTATATATGAGAATTTCAATTCAATTGATTATTAAGATTAATTTTATTTGAGAATTTAGAAAGAAAAGTTTTCGAAAGTCTCGATTGTCCGTCTTATATACAGAGCAACCTTCCATACATTTTTTTACTTAATAAAAAGATGTATGAAATAAAAGTGATACTAACCTTCGACAATGAAGGAGGGTCAGCATTACCACAGCGCCGATACCGGCTGATACTAAGGATACTATCACTAGAGTCAGCACCCATCCAAGTTCCCCAGGAGCTTCTATAAAAAATAAAAATTTATAGATTTAATATTATAAAATTATATATAAAATAAGAGACATTTAAATCAAGAAACCGATAAAATATTATATATATATATATAATTACTTTTAAGTCCGAATTTCGTTGATTTAAAATAAATTATTTGTATATATTTATATAAAATATATTTTAGAAATATATATACAAATAACTTATTTAAAATTAAATACAATTAAAATTAATAAGGGGAGAAATTAAGAAAATATTAAGAGTAAAAAATATGTTTCAATGGTAATGAATACAGATATGCAAATCTGTTTTCGCCGAAATTATGACATTTAAAGAATGACGTTTTTTTAATTTCATTATATTATTGTAATTTCTTCAGGCGGGTCTTTGCCGAGTATATATATGAACAGCATGAGCATCGTATAAATCGGTTCTCGAGATCTTCGCGCGAGTGCCTCGTAATTGGCTCACAGTCTCATCCGGCGCGTTCCGTTTCCGCGCAGCGGGACACCCGCAGGTTTATTAGGCGTCCTTTCGCTATTATTCCTGCCGCACACCTACCGAAAGTACTCTTTCGTCCCTTTACCTATCTCACTTATCCCATTGAAATCGTTTCATCGCGGGGTTGCGCAGCGGCAGTTATCTCGCGCACCGCTCTTAACGAGACCTTAGATTATCGTTCGTGCGAACGTAATTAAGAGAATCGCATTGCAGGTTTATAGCGAGGGAATGACGGCGGCAAGCGAGCGCATGACGGAGGCGATGAAGGTGGTAGATTCTTTTGTCGGTAGATCAATCGGAAGCTCATTTCCTGAATGTAATCGGCTTTTGAATTGATTCATAGTTGATCGCTGATCATTTTCCGTGGCCTTGCCATGCTCGAAGCTTGAAATACTTATGCGTTTGCTGAATGAATCTCGACCAGTTCTCTGTTCAGCTGTTTGCATACACGTTCTCCCTGGAATGTGAGCGAGATAATCGCGCGCCACCGAGCGGTTTTCTCCCTTCGCTCTGCGTTCATTAGTCGAGTTTCGTCGCGTTATCGTCAAATATCTTAAGCTCGCACAGAATATTCCTGATCGGTTCTTATTAGAGGTCTTAATCGTGATGACTCTTCTCTCGGATCGACGCGAGTTCAAAATGGAAATTAGCAGCGGACGCTCGTGGAATTACGAACGAAAGAACGGGATAATTAATTCCCGCTGATCGCGAAATTATTCGCGAAAAAGACGCTCTTTATCTGCAACTACGTTCGCTCTTTGCTCGCAGCAGCGACATTAATCGCACGCAGTTTTCGAATTCCGCCAAGCAGCGCTTTTATTTGAGAACCTTCCTAAGTATGCTTGTTCGGAGAGGTAGATTCATTACTCCCTTGTCACGCGGCGCTCTTCGTGCCGTTGGTCTACCTACGCATACGTGGGTTTATATGTACTTCAAGTTGTCGACACTGCAATCGCTCAGAGTCTGGTTAGAGAGCTTGGAAAAGGGACATCAAAGGGAAAGGAAGTTGTCCAAGGGTGAAGAAGCCGCCCGTGATCGAGAACTGGTACTCGACTCTGCATACGAATGCACTGTTAATGTTGTTTCTTCATCATTGTAAGGCAATCCAGGTAGCGATAAAGGTTTACAGGACTCGTCGGTGACTTTTTGACATCTAAATCTAATAATTTTAGCCTTCATATATGTAACTAAATGTAACTAAACAAGAAAGTATTAAGGAAGAAGGAAATGTCTCTTGCTTTGCGTAATTCATACTTTGTCAAAAAAGATAAATATATGTATTTCTGAATGAAAATTTATTTTGCTAAACTGTAATCGAATATTTAAAAAATTAGAACATTAAAAAATAGATAATTAACTAAATGTTCTAAAATTAATTACTTTCAAAAATCTTCATAAAAAACGAATGGTTAATTCTTGAATATTCTCTAACAAATGAAAAAGGAGACATTTCCTTTTTATATAATATGATACATAATTTAAACAAATAACAGATATTTCTAAATATTTTTTTGCATAAAAAGATGAAAAAAGATCGCAGTTAGAATGGAATAAAAAAAGGGGAAGGGAATGACATTTAACACGTCGACATATAACTTTAAAGACAACAAGTTGCGTATAGATATGACCGGAAAGCCGAAGCGAAAGAGAGAAGAGAGAGGAAAAGGCAAAGACGCCCGTCTATCAGCGTCACGTTCATGACATGAACATAACAGCGTGCACCCTGTGGTTGATAACGCTTACAAGAGAGTTATCAATCATCTCGCGCCGAGATTGACCACCTAGACCAATGCGTGTTAATGTCGGTCAGCGTGCGCGAGTTTCCTGTTACAGTTATCTCGGTAAATTGTTTTGATCTTTGCACAAGTCGAGCTAGTTAGGTAGTCTCTTCAACCTGCATGTCGGAGTTAATAACCTTTTGCAAGTCTTCTCTGTCTCATTAGCAATTAAAATTTAGTTACGTAAAGAAACTACATTTAGCTAAATATATTACCATGTTCTTACTTTCTGATCTAACAAAAGCTATTATATTTTATCAAATATATTTATTTAGAGAGAAATTATTTTATGTTGTTCTCTTAATATTTTAAAAATTAAAATATAACTTTAACATATTCTGTCTTTCATTTTACATTAAATATTCATAATTATATAACTCTACTCATGTCTATATCAAGCTGTTTGGTCAATTTCACAGAGCTTTGTCATATGTACATATATGTATAGAGTTAAATTGTCCTCGCGTAAAAATAATATAATATCTGTGAAAATATGTGCTCTGTTTTATGGGAGATCATTTTGCTCGCTACGAAAACGCATATATTTATTCAAATGGTAATAACAAAAGGGGATACGTGTCCGATACTTTCGCGACAATAATGTATGGCAAGCTTGCGTGCGAAATCGACAAGCCTCGCTGATCAGCAAATTCAATGTTATTCCACCATTGCGGATACCGTGACTGGTTCTCGTATACCGTTTTTAAAGTCTCTCTACGAGATTTAACTCGGTAACTATTTTTTCTGCTGAATAATTCTCTAGATTTCGTCGATAGTTGTACGTCTATATATTGTACGACGACGTATTCGGCTTCGGCAATCACGTTGTATGTATATTTTCGCATGTATTCGTCTCGCGCGAATCCTCTTTTTACTGGTCTCCGTCGAAAGATCGTTCCGCGATCCATTTCGACAGGTGGTCCAGAACCCGCCTCGTATTTCAGGGGATTCAGGACTCCAATTACGGGCCCGCGCGAATAACCGTGCACTCCTTCTCTCTCGCTCTCCCTTCAGCTTTCTCGCGATCCGGACCGGGATCTAATTTTCGATCCGTGGGGGGTCAATACGTGGGATGTCAAACTGCGGCACGTCGAATACTACATACACTCGTTTTTACACGTGTTCTCTGCTACCGCCAAAGTTCGCGCGATCACGCGACAGTTAGTCCCTATATTTCGACGTAAATTATGGCATGATCTTGTTTTACATGCTTTTTATGTCGATTCGTTTCGACAAAATTGGAGTATGGTGTGCGTCGCGGCGACATCGCAATTATTAATAATTGATGGCATGATTTATATATGATTTATGAATATTCGTGTTTATTCGATCATCGCAACTCATTACATCGTTTGATTTGCTCGTCTTGTGGTCATTCTGGTTCGCATTCGTTTAACATTTGTTATTACGACGTTCTGTGATTTCTGGTTCTACTTTATCGAGGAAAGATTCGGATACAGGTGTGTGTAGCTCATTTCCAGTTTGGACTTTGGTAAAAGAATTCACGTGTTCAATCAAGTAGGATGGCACTTTGTGCGGTCATTATGCAAATTAGCAATTACTTGTTCGTAGGTATACGCACGAAGATTGCCGGTTTTGGGCGGTGTGACTCGTTTAAGAGACTCTCGATCGATGAGCCGGGCGTGTGACATGCATGAGTACGAGATATTTTACTCTAATTACGTATCATGTTCCCGAGTTGTTATATCTTGTAAGAGTTGCGATCACGATGAACACGTCGATGTGACAATGTATAAAATTCTTTATGTATCAAACATCTTCATGCATCAGCAAGAAAATTAGCGCGACTTTTAATATAAAAAGTATAATACTTTTTAATAAAAAATATCTAAAATTTACATTTATATGAAATCAAGGTACATTAATTGGCTCAATTTGATATATGTTCTAGAAATATTTTATAGTATAAAATTGTTCTCTAGAAGTTATTATACAAATAAACTTTTAATTATTTATTAAAGCTAAATCATGCTTAAACAATTATCTTTATCTGTTTGCCAATGCATTGTACTTAATAAAATTAAATAGAATTTGATTTTAAGTGTTATATTTGTTTAATACGAAGATAATATAACATTCATATAAACTTTGCAAATAAAATTTCTATTGATATAGTATATAGTATTTAAACGAGAATTGAACATAAGAGTTTTTTGTTACAATTTTTTAAAATGATCAACCAATCAATTTTTTAAACGATAAATTCGATTAATCGGAAATCTCTAAATTTTCAATTATTGCTGACAATCGGTCGACAACGACGAAACAACATCGCAATCTGCATTTAATTATAAAATATAGCATACAAATATAAAAACTGGACAGACAAGGAATATTTGACATGGTCAATTTGAATAGCAAGCAAGAATGCCCTTTCAGTCTCTTTACGTTTTGAAATTATGCGGCTCAAATGTATAATTACAGTGAGTTGTCATTACCTTTGCTCGAGGACTTCCTCTGTCCTTGTGAGTTTTGCGATTTAAATGACTTTTGACCGCGTCAAGGTAATTAGAAATTTACCTTAATTACATTTTTTCCGCGATAAATATACATCTCTCAAATCAACCGAAAAATTACGTCTTGCAATATGCCAATATTTGTTTCGGAAGCTATTATTAATGTCTTCCGTCTACATAAGGAATTATTGCATTGTCTTCGGTCTGTAATGAACATCGGACATAAATCGCAAACAGGTTGTAAAATACAAAAA